TCAAAGACCCCTCCCCCCCCCATGTCCTTCCCCACTCTGTCCTCCAGCCTGCTCAGGTTGGACACTGAAAAGACGCCTTGTCTCTTGCAGAGCCCGCACTGTACGGGAGGCAGGAGGACCTGCAGGGAGGCAGGACTTGTACTGAAGGCACTGAGGCTCCGTGGCTGTCACTGACTCAGCCGTGGCTGTGAGGAGGAACGCGCCGCTGCACAGATCACTGATGGGTTGTTAGTGATATGGACAGCGGCGTGTTCCTTGTCACAGCTGCTGTTGAGTCAGTGACAGCCCCAGAGCCTCCGATGCCATAGCGACCCAGGCGGCCTGTACGGCATTAGAGGGACCCCTTTTGTTTCTTGTACTGGCCGGGCCACCTGTGCCCTGGGCCCCATAGCAGCCGCCTGGGTCGCTATGGTGATAGTTCTGCCACTGGATACTTCCCTCTACAGCAGCGGTTCTCAACCTGTGGGTCGCAACCCCGTTGGTGGTCGAATGACGATTTGCCCGGGGTCGGCTCCCGGCCGCCCTGGGAGAGAAACACTTTCATCCGGAAAGGTTTACTCTGCTCAATTGAGCAGTGTAAACCTTTCCATGTGCCGTTTTTTTTTTTTTTTAGTTTACGGGTCGCCGTAAGTCAGAAATAAAAAACACCATAGGAATGCATATCTAGATTCCTATTGGCTATTTCACTTTGCAATAGCAAACTAGCTATTTGACTCGCCCTCTGCTGCTGCCAATCAGCAGAGGGGGACCTGAAGTTCTCCCATCAGGTCCCTTTCTAGTGATTGACAGCAGCAGAGGGTGGGTGCAATAGCTATAGAGAGGCAGAGCCAGCTGTCAATCAGCCAGCTGGGAGGATCTCGACAGTATTGTCGGGATCCGCCCCGGCTGCGGCGCTCTCGGCATATAATGGGCAATATTTGGGTCACGGGAGAACCCAGTATATGTCCTCCCTTGACCGAAAAGAGAACTATGGGAAAAAAAATGTTGCCCCGTAGTTCTCCTTTTTAATATATACTATGTAGCCCATTTTTCTGTAAATAGGGTTCCAACACACAACAGTGTTAAAAAAAAAATAGACATATTTTCTTTTTCAGACATGAACTTTGGTTCCAATCTGTGCATTGTGGTTTGTTGAAACACACATGCATTTAATTGGTGAGCAAAGTGCTTTGGGATGCCATTCAAAATTAATGGCACTACACAGCAGATTTTACAGTCTTATACATTGCGGTAACACGTTACCACAACACATAGCTGTGCAGCCAGCCTTGAGGTTTTTAGCGTAAATCTCCTATTTACAGTATTCCCTCCATTTAATCATTTTGCCAAAAGGCACGATTTTAAAATTTAGAAATATTTGTTATTAGGGATGCACCGATACCACTTTTTTAAGACGGAGTACGAGTACCGATACTCTTGATCAAGTACTCGCTGATACCAATTACCGATACTTTTTCTTAAAGGACCAAGTCACATTTTTTCTAAAAGCAATACAAACTAATGATTTTAGGTCAGTTTCTTAATATTATGATTCATGAGATGACGAGGGAGCATGACGCCGGCTTCCCGGCCAATCAGAATGCCGGGCGCTGCATCATTACACGGCACCCGGCTTCCGGATTGGCTAGCGTTCTGACCAATCGGGAAGCAGGGCAGCGTGTCATTACACGCTACCCGGCTTCCTGATTTGCCGGGAAGTCGGCTCCATGCTCTCTCATCACAAGTGACGAGAGAGCATGGAGCAGTTTCCCGGCCAATAAGGAAACCGGGCAGAGTGTAATGACGAGATGACCGGCTTCCTGATACAGGAAGTACTCCTGCTAGGTATCAGAGCATTTGGGCGAGTACGAGTACTCACCCAAATACTCGGTATCGGCACCGATACTAGTATCGGTATCGGTGCATCCCTATTTGTTATTTATGAACTTAATACAGTTATATTGTGTTTATGTGCACTAATAATGATTTTTGTTTTATCTTTTTTGAAAATATTGCTTTAATATACTTTTGCGCAGTTATCACAGAATATACAAAATTAACAGCACCATCTTTCAATTCTACATGTTTTTTACTTTTAGAAAATTACGTTTGGGGGTTCTATTACAAACTTTCAAAGCTGTAAGTGAAAAATTACAAAAGAAAACATTAAAATGGCTTGGCTATTGGAGGTGGAAAGTGTAGGGCATGGTCCGGCAGCAAAAGGGCTATGTATGTAAACTCTTTACAATATACATCTCTTTTTTTGCTTTCTTTTGGTACCGTATATACTCGAGTATAAGCCGAGATTTTCAGCCCATTTTTTTGGCTGAAAAGTGCCCCCCTCGGCTTATACTCGAGTCAGCGTCAGATGTCTTCTTACTTACCTCGCCGAGCGTCGCGTCACTGCTGCTCCGATGACCCCGCTCGGAGCGCCGCCCACCGGAGCAGCAGTGACGCGACGCTCGGCGAGGTAAGTAAGAAGACATCTGACGCTGACTCGAGTATAAGCCGTCCCGAATATAAGCCGAGGGTGGGAAATGAGGCAGCTAATGGTAGATAGATACCAATATAATTAACTGAATATTTATTTAAAAGAAAAACAATAACCTAGCTCTGTAAGTGGAAAAGGGGGTACAGGGCTACATATTATGTACTACGGATCATTTACCCCATTCATATTAGCAGAGGATAATTGTAAATCTATTGTTCAGTGCATTCTATATGTAGTATATAGTACATGTACATATAGAGTGCCTGCAACAATACATTTACAATGATCCTCTGCTAACATGAATGGGTTAAATGATCCGTAGTACATAATATGTAGCCCTGTACTATGGATCATTTAACCCATTCATGTTAGCAGAGGATCATTGTAAATGTATTGTTGCAGGCACTCTATATGTACATGTACTATATACTACATATAGAATGCACTGAACAATAGATTTACAATTATCCTCTGCTAATATGAATGGGGTAAATGATCCGTAGTACATAATATGTAGCCCTGTACCCCCTTTTCCACTTACAGAGCTAGGTTATTGTTTTTCTTTTAAATAAATATTCAGTTAATTATATTGGTATCTATCTACCATTAGCTGCCTCATTTCCCACCCTCGGCTTATATTCGGGTCAATACTTTTTCCCAGTTTTTTGTGGTAAAATTAGGTACCTCGGCTTATATTCGGGTCAATACTTTTTCCCAGTTTTTTGTGGTAAAATTAGGTACCTCGGCTTATATTCGGGACGGCTTATACTCGAGTATATACGGTATGTTAAAAATAAAATTGAAAGTGTTTTGTTACATCTGTTTATTAAGTGCAAAAAAAAAGCTGTTGTTTATGTCAGAAATTCAGAGCTCTCCTGTGCACATTCCCATTGTATATAAAGTATTCTAATTAGCCCTCATAGTTCTTACCTTGGATTAGGGAATAATAAGTGTCGTAAGCACAGAAAATGGTCCCTGTTGTAAGCCCACAACAGGACTTTAGGAACTGAGTGCATTTCTAGAAAATCAACAGTTATTTCTCTTCTGTTCATTGAAGGACACAGTGAAGATGGTAGCTCTGGAACCAATGGGTTATAGTGCCACCAGTAGGAGACTAGGCACAAAACAAAAAAAACAGCCTAGGGCTAGCCTCTGTTGTTGGCCAACCCCCTCATGTTTAGGGGTTTTGTTTGTTATTCTTCACTGCATTGTGACATCCCAGTGATTCCAGATCTATGATCTTTACTGTATCCTGCAATGAACGGAAGAGAAAATAGGATTTTTTTACTCGCTGTAAAATCCTTTTTTCTGTATCCATTGAAGGACAAAGTACCCGCCCTCTATATGTGTGTGGGAGTGTCTTCTCCTACTGCTTGTTACTAACTGACGCTTGGTTAGTAGGTGTGTGGTTGGCCACCAGCAGAGACTGCCCCTAGGCTGTTTTTTTGTTTTGTGCCTAGTGTCCCACTCCTGCAGGTGGCGCTATAACCCGGTGGTTTTCAGATCTACAATCTTCACGGTGTCCTTCAATGAACGTAGAGAAGAGGATTTTATGGCGAGTACAAAAATCCTATTTTTTCTGTACTTGAAGGGCCTTTAACCAGTTTGATTTGCGAGAGATGTTTACATTTTTCACACATTTAAATTCCTTAAATCCTCCAAACAATTTATTTTTATAAAAGCAGATGCACTGTAGAATAAAATTGTGGCAGTTGCAATTTTTTATATGCTGCACAATATTTTCGCAGCTATTTAAATTAAATCTATATTTTCAGGAAATAAATACACAAAAAGTATTTTAATACACACAAACACAATATCATTCCCAAACATATCAATCTTTAAAATTGTGTACACCTGCAAAATGGCAAAAGCCTACAGTACTCAAAACTGCCCATATGTTGAGCTGTAAAACCCTTTACATGTCATCAATTTAGAGATAACAGCGAGCAATGGCTGAGAATTATTGCTCACTACAATGTTAGCGGCAGCACCCAGTGTGTTTTATGTTGATTTAATTTTATTGCTATCACAAAGGTTCTAACCTGTCTCCATGTGGTAGCATTTGGCAGATGGCAAGTTCTCTTAAAGGAGAACTATGAGATGAGTGATTTCCACTCACCTCATAGTTCTAGCCGACCTGTGACAATATTAGACCGCTGCCCTCCACTTCAACCAATCCAGCACTGCACTGTGCTTGATCAACTTTTTACCTGGCATTTCAGACAAGAATTTGACGGCTCTGAACCCAGAGGTGCTGAGAGCACAGCTCTTCTGTATTCATTCATTTCAGAGAAGATTAGGGAGTGGGTATTGCCTGATCTACTCCCGCTCACGATCCTGATGTAATTTACCATTGAGGGGGGCACCTTTACAGCCCCGTAAACGGGATCACTTTAACTGGATAGCCAGAAGTCTGCTGAAGAAAACAGTACAAAGCTTACAGCTCATATGTTTTATATATGTTTTATATATATTATAAATTTGATAAATTGTACATTTTATTAATTAAAATGTTTCTTAATTTTAGGTTATGAATGACTTCATTTCTTTATCATCTGTGCAACAAGGCCCACCAGCTGACATTGCAACCATTTTAAGCTGCTGTCAAACTGTTCTCTCTACTCCTGCCCTTGCTTTTGTCTACACAACAAAATATGAATTGATGGTAGACTTATTAAACAAACTGTGCACTTTGGCTTGCCGTTGCTTGAACAACCAATCTGAACAACTCCTCACAAGTCAAGTACTTAAAATCCTTCACTTGTCATTCAATCAATATCTTCAAGTACAGAGACAGCAAAGTAATCCAAATAGAGTTTTTACATATGTGATGGCACAACTTTTTCAACCGTGTCTGCTGTTAAGGAATACCTTGAATGTTCGTGTTTGGAGTAAGGATGATGATAGTCAAATACGCCACCAACTAATCAAGGACATCCGCAGTAACATTGAGACTGTTCTTTATAGTGCCCTTTTTCAGCCAGAACTTTTGGCTTCATACAAAGAAGAGCTTCTTGTTGAAGGAGACATATCAGAGAAGAAAAAGATATCACCTAAAATACTTCTGACACCTGTATCCTCCATCTTGTCAAAACTAGAGGATTGCAACTTCTGTAACCCAAACAGCTCTGTTTCACTCTTAGCCAATTCTGTTTCTCTTATATATAAATTGTTTTTAGACTCGTATTGCAAAGATGGAAAGGAAATATTTTGCTTTTACATGCTTGTCAAGCTGTTTCAGTGCCTTCAATCAACTATTCAATTTCAGCAGGAAGACAAGGCAACATCTTTTTCAGGTTACTCTGCAGGTCTTCCTGCATTAGAACAGCTACTGAACCTTGCTCTCAGTCATGACATATACAATGTTGCGGAAGACCACATAAGGCATAAGGATGTTCAGTACCAGTTCTATCGTAAACTAGCAGAAATGCTGATATGTAATCCCTGCACTTCTACACAATCTTGGTTTCGATGCTTGAGAAGTTTAATCCTATTAAATCACCTCATCGTTGAACCAGACCTTGATGACCTATTATCATGTGCATGGATTGATGCAGACATTTCAGATCTGCGCATTAGAAAAGCACAGGAATCTTTAATTTCAAGCCTTCTCCAGACTTATACTAAGCTTCGGCAGTTTCCAAAACTGTTTGAGGAAGTTGTGATATTGATATGCCGTCCTGCAGCTGATGAATTAAGAAATGCTATTATAACTTCTAGTCTGAGTGAGAAACTTGCTGATTTTCTTATTCAGCTGCCTCCTAATCAGATTTTGGATGTGTGGGCCATTATTCTGGAAAAGTGTAGTTGTGATGTCCTTCCAGACATTAAAGATGACCCAGATGTTTCTTTGAAATTGGTCTCTCTCAGCTCTCTCCTGCAATGCTTGTTGTTTAACATGAAGAGTTTAGACAATTATACTCCAACGCCTGTTCTAGCAAGGTTCCATGATCTTATGAAACAAATGATGGATAAGCTGATAATGCCTTCCCTAACTTTTGTTAAGGAGGTTAGTGTAAACATTGTATCTTTGGCTTGGCTACCTAAACTCTGTGATGCTGTCCTTTTGCTTCTCTACACGTGGGTAGAAGTAAATACTGTAACTAAACTGAATTGCATTAAATATGTATCACAGATAAAAGAACTGCCCCTTCTTTTGGAATCACCGATTGAAGGGTGGGATTTTTCAGTGTTCTGTGGAGATAAAGATTGTTGGAATGAAGTCTATAAACATTGCACTGAATCAAACCCAGTCAGCAAGTTTTACTTGGAGCTGCTTTCTATTCAGAAAATGAAGTTTATTCTAATGCATTATGCCTCTCCAACTGAATGCATGCAACTTGCTCTTCAGAATGCTGCATTTCTAATTTTTCATCCGGTAAGTGAACTTAAGGTGCCGAAACATTACAAACCTTGGAGTGGAAATGTTAACCTAGTTGATACAAGTTCATTCCATGTTGCTCACTGGCACCTTATTGCATCAAATCTTCTAATTATCCTTCCCTATATTCCACTGGCAAATATCTACAGTATAACAGACTTTCTGCTAGAAAGTATTCTACCCGCACAGTACACAAAAGACCAAACGGACAAAGAAAGCTCAGTTTCATTCGAGGATATTTCAATGGCTTTACTGAGAAGTGATCATTTTTCCGAGCTACCTGTATTGCAGTGTGCATTTATAACCAGCATTATTAACAAATGTGCCATGGCCCTAAAAGAGAAAAATGTTTTAAATGTTATTTGTGATTTTCTCTCTGCTAAAGACTTAAATTGGCATGAAGATTTTCTTTCATCCTACAGTAAAGGAGCTAAATTCTCTGCCAGTGATGTGGCGGATGCATTCGGTCATAAAATATCTGGATGTGTGACAAATTTGGAAGTTGTCGTACAGTATATAATGTCAATGACTAAAGAAACTAAATCTGTTGAATTATGTGATTCTGAAATAAACCATCTTGGCAATCTAATAGAATTTTTTTCTGCATTAAAACCGGACAGCCTGACACCCTCAGACCAGTGTCGCTGCTTTTTTATGCTGTTGTCTATAGCAAGGGCAACAAGCCTTAGGAGTCTCCAACTTGCAGGTGTTTGCTATAGACTTATGATATGCCTTTTAAATGGTAAACATTCCAAATCTTTATTCAAACTGCTCTTTGCTAGTGACATTCTAAAAACTGTTATCATAAGCTTTCAGCTAAATGAATTGCAGTTGACTGATGCAGAAAACAAACTGTACTGGCCTGAATTTGTTTCCGTTGTGCAGTCTTTTTTTGACACACTGCTTGCTGTGGTCTTAGAGCGGAAACAGAGCTGCCTCCTGAACTTAGAGAAATTTGCAGAATTCGTGTTTCAATTTGTCCCAGATCCCAAAAGCAAAGACTGGAACTCTTGCATAGGTCAGTTACTTATTTCTGTTCTCAGTGGATTATGCAGAGTCCTAACAACTTGTATCCAAGAACACATTGCAGATAAAAAGAAGATTGAAACATTTTGTGCTTTGTTGCAGCAGTCAGTTGTTACTATGCATATAGTTGTTCAGCAATGTCTCAAAGTCAGTGCTCCTTCTCAGATTTTACCTTCATTCCTCGTATCCTGTACAACCACTCTTCTTGAAGCAGAACTTAGTTGCCAAGATCAAATCAAAGCTCAGAACATTATAGTCTACAGAAGTTTCTGCTTACAAATTCTGAGAGAACTTCCATATGCTGAGAGACAAACTCTGTTTCTGAAAGCTGCCTTCCGTTATTTGCTAATAAGCATTACCGTAGAAGAAATCTACAGTGCCCAACAAATGCTAGTCGGCTCTATATTTAATTCTGTGAAAAAACTACTTTCTAGTAAGTATTTTTCATCTGTTTTTAAATTATGTATAAAATAAGAATTTTGTCTGCTTTGGTTTATACAGTTAACCTGAAGCTCTTCAGGCAAGGTTTTTTTGTTGTTGTTGTTTTTTTTTTTTAAGCCATGGACAACAGAATAACATGGGTGTGCCTGCTTGTCGGCCTGCCTGCTTGCTTGCTTGCTTGCTTTCCCACAAAGTTATCCATCGGCATGATATGATCATTTCCCTGACATTGGCTCATGGATATTGCTTATCCAAGATGAGGCTAGTGCCAATGGATTGTGCTCCTAAGCATGCATTCTTGGGCAATGCATCTTCCTATGTTGTGTGCTATCATTTATCTAGAAATATTTAAACCTACAAGTCCGGAATGGCAAAGTTTATTTCAAGGTGATCCTGCTCTGTGCAGGCATAACAGGAAGTGGTATTTTAACCGATTGCCGTCCGCCCACTGAAAAAACGGACGGACGGCAAAGTCCCATCGGTGGGTTGTCGTAATTAGACGGCTTTTCTTTTTTCCTGCTCGCGCGTGCCCAGGCAGAAAAAACCCGTCCATTCTCCAGAGCCTTTACCGGCTGTTTGACATACAAATGATTGGTGGCTATATAGCCGCCGATTGCTTGTATGTTGTGGCTGCGCACCCTCCTCCTAAACTAGTGCCGCCGCACCCCCCTCCTCCTCCAATCCCGGGATACGCTAACCCATCTGTGGCCCGGACCGGCTTGGGAGGATGTCAGGAGGTAAAATGGGAGGGAGATCAGCATCTTCCTCCTTGCTGACCTCCCTCCGTACTGTGAATGCGGAAGTGATACATCACTTCCGCATTCACCTGTCAGTCATCTGGCTGCTATTGCCAGAGAGAAGATCAGCTTCTTTGGGGGTCCCCAAGTGACAGGGGTCTTACAGACCCCTAATGTCTCCATAAAGAGGACCTGTCAGTGTGCCTGTGCTATCACATAGAGTGATTGTTATCCCCCTATGTGATAGCAATAACATTAAGTGTTAAAAAAAAATAAGTCGCGTATAAAAAAAAAAAGTTAAAAAAATAAAAAATTTGAAGTCCCACCACGTTTACGCACATGTAAACGTAAAAATTGCGCTACACATGTTGCATATCGCCGCGAACGTCGGAGCAAAAGCAGTGATTTTAGGGCCATCAATCACTGATAGCAATAAACTGATGAGCGGTAAAAGCTTTTAAAGCATCGGCTATGGCCAATTTTGGGGATTTTTTAAGGCTTGACATGTTTGGTGTTTTTTTTACCCGACGTGACCCCGTCTTCTATATTTTACCAAAAAATTGGGTAATAATAAATGTTTTATAATTTAATATAGGGGAAACAGTTTTTTTGTAAATTTGCGGTAAATTTTCCTTAATATAGTAATAAATAAAAACCCCAGTGGTGATTAAATACCACCAAAGGAAAGCTCTATCTGTCCCAAAAAAATGGTATAAAATTAATTTCAGTACAGCGTTGCATGACGGAATAAATGTCAGTTAAAGTACCGCAGCACGAACTTCAAGTGGTTAACATCTGTATGTTGTTAACAGGCCGGATTTACTCTACTGCCTCAAGGCTGGGTTCCTCAATGCACCCCCCTCCCCGCCAAACCCCCCCACGAAGAATGGCAAGGGCAGCAGGGTTATTTTTTATTACTTCATTTTATTTTTTTACTCTTTAAAATATGTATTTCTGTTCTTTTACTTTTTTTAATAATGTTTCATTTTATTTTTTTACTTCTTTTTTTATCACTTTTTTTATTCTTAATATTGAAATGCAGTAAACAAAAGCAAATTAAGACAAATAGGCACACAATCGTTTTCAGGATAACACATGCCGCAGATCAGCAGAACAGTGAGTACACAGGGGATTTTTTCTCTGCTTAGTTGATATAATATACAGGGATTGAAAAATCCACTCGTCCTCTCGTCTTTGACGAGAGGACGTTGGAGCCCGACGAGTAGCTTCCCGTCCGGCCGTTGTAATTAAACAGCTGGCAGGAGCTTTACATTCAAGTGCTCGGCCGTCTCTAGAGACTCCCGATGGCTTGTATTAGCAGCATCTGTCACGGTCCCGAGATCCGCTGTGAGCAGCATGGCTGCTCTGTGACAGGAGATCAAATGGAGATCGGTACACGATGCAGGAAGTGATGTATATTACATCACTTCCGCATTCTGCTGTCACTCTCCAGCTTGAGAAGCTGATGAAGCAGAGATCTCTGGGGGTCCTAGGTGACAGGTCTTGAAGACCCCTGATATCTCCATAAAGAGGACCTGTCATGTAAATTGGATATCACATAGGGAGCTTCTTAGTCCCCTATGTGATAGCAATAAAGTTAAGTGTAAAAAAATAATTAAAATAAGATAAAAAATGAAAGCATAATTTTTTTTTTGAAACAAATTTTTTTAAGTCCCACGCCCCGCACATACACACGCAAGCTTGCATTGGGGGCGCCTATGTGCAAAAACGACATGTTACATACCACCGCGAACGTCGGCGTGGGAGCAATCATTTTAGGGCTATTAATCACTGATAGCACTAAACTGATGAGCAGTAAAAGCGTTTAAAGCGTCGCCTATGGCCAATTTTCGGTGTGTTCTTTTTTTGCATTTTCACGGGTGCTCGCAATTTTAAGGCTTCACATCTTTGGTGTCTCCGACGTGACCCCGTCTTTTATATTTTACAAAAGAATTGGGTAAGAATAAATGTTTTTTAACATAACGTTGGGAAAACATTTTTCCCCCCGAAATTTACGGTACTTTTTTCACTATATAGTAAAAAAGAAAACCCCCCCCCCACAGTGGTGATTAAATACCACCAAAAGAAAGCTCTTTGTGTCCCTAAAAAATGTTAACATAAATTGCAAGGCTATAGTCCGGTCAAACAAGCTCTCTGGATGCATATTACTGAAAACTTTTCTTAAAACCCTTACCTGCCGCTTTTTCGGCTGTTCCATCTGGGGTTATCCTTCCCCATGGTGAAGTCCCTGCCATCTGCCCTTAAACAGGGTATTCCATGGGAGGCTCCCAGTTCTCAGTGTTCGGGGCATCATCTGCGTTCAGGGCTGCAATGCTCTCTAGGCTCTGGCGCCCTGTGTCGGTCTGCTCTGCCTTCTCTGCCCCGGCCTCGTCGTCGTCGGCACTAGCACGCTCCGTCCGCCATAGGTTTCTTTGTCATGGCGGGCGGAGACACTATCTCTCCCAAGATGGCGGCCGTTGGGCTATTGCGCTTGCGCGTTGCGTCTGACGGCCGTGCAATTCATTTAAAACCGGCATCGGCAGCAGGTCTCGCTGCTGCCGCATTACAGCTCAGGCTGCTCGTCCACGCTACAAGTATGTCGGGGGGAGGGGTGGTTTTCCTCAGGAAGCCCTGGCTAATGCTTATGGGATGGTTCCCTAGGTGACTCCTTTCCCTGATGCTATAGTGCTCTCTCTCTCTCTCTTTCCTAGCAGAGCTATGGCTGACACAGCTGCCGCCACAAACACTGCTCCACAAAATAGGTAAGGGTCAGGTAGGTGGTTTCTTTCTGTAAAAAGGATAAGGTGGTAACAATTTCCTTAATGTTATTGCAGCCCTCCTCATGAAGCCCACCACAGTCGGATGCGCTCCAGACGCAGATCTCGCTCTTCCAGGAGTCATAGTTCACTTGGACGCAGTCGCTCCCACTCTACTCATGGGTCTACTCATACCCACCGTTCTGCCAGGGGGTTCCCACGACACGGGTGTTGGGTCTGCGGCAAACAAGCTCTGCCGGATAAATTGGTCTGCCAAGATTGCATAAGTGAAGCAACACAGGATCATGTCTCCCCTCCTAGGGACATAGCGGCCATGGTGGAGCGTTCTGTGAGGGAATGCATGAAGCAGATGGCCAGGCCGTTCCCTCCAGGACCCACTTTCATCCCAGTCCTTTGATCTCTCTGCGGATTCCGATGAGTCGGGCTACGCACATGACGCAGAGGAATGGGGTCGCTCAGCTTTCGATTTCTCTCTGGTGGATCCCTATGTCACAGCGGTCAAGGAAGCGTTAAGCTGGGAGGACCCAGTTGCAGAGATATCCACAGCAAGGAAATATTTCCCCGCGCCTACAGAAGGTGTCTAACACCTTTCCCTTTATGGAGGAAATAAAGGGCATCGTCCATGAGGAATGGAGGAAGTTGGAGAAGAAACCAAACCTGAACAGGCTAGTCAAGCTGTACCCTCTTAAGGAGGAGGATATCTCCAATCTAGTTAATCCACCTGTGGTGGACGCAGCAGTTATGCGTCTTGCACGCCACATTACTCTTCCTATGCGGTCTCCTTTTCGGGATCGCTTGGAACGAAAAATCGACCTGGATCTGAAAAGGGCATACTCGGCCGCAAGGGGCACCTGCCGGCCGGCTATGCGGCTTGCGTCGGTATCCAGAGCGGTGGCTTTCTGGATCAACAACATCGAGGAGGCACTAAGGGCAAACGTGGAGAGGTTTACAGCTGACAGATCAAGAGAGGCCAGGTCATATCGAGTTTTGGTGCAACTGGAAGGGCACTCAGTCTTCGCTCTTCAAATTTCCTAAGCAGAACCCTTCTGGGCAAAATGCGAAGAAGTCTTTTTGACAGTTATGGCTCCCCACCACCTCCAGTGGGCGCTCGCCTGCGCTTTTTCTTCCAGACTTGGAAATCTGCCATTCAGGACAACTGGGTACTGGCTACAGTATCAGAGGGGCACCGCTGGAGGTTTCACCATACCCCTCCGCGTGCCCGCTATGTTCCCACACAGGTTCCAGACTCCCCAGCAAAGTTACGCTTTTCCTTCACTACATTCAGACCTTGTTGGACAAACACGCGATTACTCCAGTACCTCAAGAGGAAAGATTCATGGGAGTTTACTCTTCCCTATTCTTAGTCAAAAAGAAGTCTGGGGATCTCAGACCAGTGTTGGACTTGAAGAGGCTCAACAGGTACATAATTGTTCCACGGTTTTGCATGGAATCGCTTCAAACCATTCTTCCACTTATAAGACCCGGGGACTGGATGTCGTCCGTCGACCTGGCGGACACCTACCTTCACGTCCCTATCCATGCCCAGTTTCAGAAGTATCTCCGTTTCTCCTTCCTCGGCCTCCATTTCCAATTCTGCTGCCTCCCTTGCGGATTCTGTACAGCCCCCAGGACCTTCACCAAGTTTATCCTTCCTGTCATCGCACTTCTTCGGGAACAGGGCCTCAGGGTGAATCACTATCTGGGCGATATCATCCTTCTCGCCCAGGACAAGGAGGTGTTAATCAATCACCAACAGACTCTCCTTTCCACACTCCAACGTTTCGGGTGGCTGGTAAACGACCACAAGTCACAGCTTATCCCGGCAAAATCCATGGTCTTTCTAGGGGGCTCTCTTGAACACGGCAAGGAATACCGTCTCACTCCAAGAGGAGAAGGTGGAGAGTGTTCGGCTAAAGGCTTTACACATGATATCCACTTGTCAGACGCCAGCTTCAAGATGCCTCAGTCTGATCGGTACACTCTCCTCCACCATTCCGATGGTAAGGTGGGCCCACTGGCAACTAAGGGGATTTCAATTGGGATTTCTAAACCAATGGAACAAGGTCAGCCTATCTCAGAGGATCAGAGTTTCCCACAGGATGAAGTCATCTTTATGGTGGTGGACTCACCAGAAGAACCTCCTCAGGTTCCACCTGATTTCCCCCCTACAGCCGGTCCTAGTCACCCACGGATGCCAGCCACTCGGGCTGGGGGGCCCACTTCGACCGTCTGGTGGCTCAGGGCAGATGGAGATTCTCTGCGGCCCTCCACACATCCAACGTGTTGGAGATGAGGGCAGCCTTCCAGGCGCTGCGAGCATTCGCTTCTCGCCTAAGGGGCATGTCCGTGCGACTGGACACCAGGGTGGCGGTTGCATACATTCAGAGGCAGGGTGGTACCCGCAGCCGCTCAATGATGCTGGAGGTGGATCCTGTCATGTGCTGGGCACAGGCGAATTTATGGAACCTCCAAGCAGTGTATCTACCGGGACGCCAAAACACCCTGGCCGACTATGTCAGTCGCTCCTTGGTAGGGACGCACGAGTGGTCCTTCCATCAGGAAGTCTTCCTTCAAATTGTCATGAAGTGGGGCCTTCCTCAGATCGACCTTTTTGCCTCTCAGTTTCCTCCAGTCTGGGCTGGATCTGGGTCTAAGCTGGAACACTCTTGAGTCCACATTTCAGCAATGTCTGCGCTCACAAGCATCAGATGGTCATTCAACCCTCTAGTGAGGCAGTTTCATAAGGCATGTTTTAAACTGAAGCCTCCCAGAACATTGTCATTTCCTCAATGGCAGTGGTGTTGAAGTCTCTCGCACAGTCTCCATTTCACCCGTTATCACAGGCCTCCTGTATGGCACCTCACTCTTAAGGTGGCGTTTCTGGTGGCGATTACCTCAGCAAGACGTGTCTCAATTAGAAGCTTTGAGGGTGGATCCGCCTTACTGTCCTTTCCGGATCGCGCAGTGCAGCGCCCCAACTCGACCTTTCTTCCAAAGGTCACTTCTCCATTCCATCTGAACCAAGAGATCGTTCTCCCTTCCCTGGTGGGAGAATCCGGGGAACCTCATTCTCTGCATGTCACAGCCTCACTGAGGCACTATATCGAGGTCATACGTGGCTTTAGGGCTGCTCGGAATCTCTTCATTCTCCCTGGGGCGCTAGGAAAGGCCAAGCAGCCACCAACAGAACTCTGGCTTCATGGCTGGTCAAAGTGATCCACAAGGCGTATGTTGTTCAAGGCCTTCCAGCACCTCAAGAGGTTAGAGCACATTCTACCCGAGGAGTGGCTACTTCGTGGGCAGCATCTGCCAGTGTGTCAGCTGAAACAATTTGCAAGGCAGCTACCTAGTCCTCCAGAAGTACTTTCGTTCGGCATTACCGAATCGATCCTGCTGTTCTCACTACTGTAGCCTTTGGCAGGACGGTTATTTCCACTGGCTCCTCTGGTTAGTTGTATTCCTGATATTAAAATGTTCTTTTTGCAGTATTCCCTCCCTGTGTGATTTGATCATGATGTGCCAGGAAAAAGGAAAATTGTATACTTACCTATCGGTAATTCCTTTCCTGGTGCATCATGGCAGCACACAAGGCCCACCCTGCAAGCCACAGGGGTCAAAACTTACAGAGGGCTTGTCCTATGGGGCTAAGAGGCTGAGCGTTAACCCATTGTGTGCTGCCATGATGCACCAGGAAAGGAAAATTACCGATAGTTAAGTATACAATTTTCCGTTATATAGTACCGAGTATTTAGGCGAGTACTCGTCCAAAAGCTCTGATGCCTAGTGACCATGTGATGAGTTCGCATCGAGCCGGCTTCACGGCTGATCAGGAAGTCTGGCAGTGTGTAATGGCTCGCTGCCCGGCTTCCTGATACCGGAAGCATGGGTATTGTGCTAGGCATCGGAGCATTTGGGTGAGTAGGAGTACTCGGCCAAATACTCGGTATCGGCACCGATAATAGTATCGGTATCTGTGCATCCCTATTTACAATCCTTGAACATTTTGCAAACTTCACATGCAGTGCGCAGTTATAAAACCTTCTGCAAAAGTGATTGTGTAGAGAAGATCTTAGACTCCAAACATGCCAGCTTTATTGTAGCATATGGCAGAATTACTACTATATGTTGTTACTGTACTCTACGTTGGTACTCTACCTTATGTACTCTATGTTGTACTCTGCGTTAGGTACTATACATCAGCGGACTGGTGGTCCTTGAGAAAATTTTGGTGGTCCCCGGGCCCCTCTGATGCCGTGCAGGCTGGGCCGTCATTGAAGCGGCACGGAGGCTCCGGGGCTGCCTCTCACTGACTCAAGCAGTGGCTGTCACAAGGAATGCGCGGCTCTCAGTACAGTGCGGGCTCTGCAGGAGGAGGGGCATCTCGTCAGTACCTGGACTGAGCAGGCTGCAGGACATAGAAAATGTGGGGAGAAGCCAGGTAATAGTGGCTCAGTGTGGGGGAAGAGGAGGCACGGGGGTGGTTGGGGGCAGTGCTGAAGCTAGGCAGGGCCAGTGGGAAACAATTAATATTATTATTGGGCTGGGGCGGGCGGCAACCCTCCCTCCACCAGCACTGCCACTCCTGCAGGCACACCCGCACCTATGTATGTATGTGTATATATACTGTATGTGTATATAGATATATTCTCATATTTTTTGTTTCCCCATATGTAAATTCTTGTGTGTGTATACACACACGAGAATTTATATATGAGGAAACAAAAAATATGAGAATATATCCATATACACATTAGAAATTCATATTAGTGGTCCGCGGGATTTAAAATTATGAATTTAGTGGTCCATGAGGTCGGAAAGGTTGGCGACCGCTGCTCTACATTATAACGCTACATCATGTACTCTACTTTATTACTTTACATTACGTACTGTACATTATCACGCACGCTCCAATACTCTTCTTGGACCTGCTAATTTGGTTGCACACAATTAAGACAAATGGGCACATGATCGTTTCCAGGATAATACATGCTGCAGAACAGTGAGTACACTGGGGATTGTTTGTTTTCTAGTTAGTTGAATACCGGATAACCGAGAGTTTAGTGTGTGTGTGTGTGTGTGTGTGTGTGTGTTGTTTTCCATTAAAAAAAAAAAAAATCTTGTCTTAGGGCCCTGGATCAATAATGAGATTCTTCAGATGGTAGAAAAGGAGCTAAAAGACCTATTTAATCAGATGATGGAGCGCTGTAGCTGTGAAGAATTTAATACAGTTCTACAGTCTACACTTCAAGGACTAGAAGTCGGCAACCTGTGGAAAAACAGTGAAAAGGTAAACATTTTTCTATCCTTTCCTTTAAATTCTAACCTGAATATTTTCTGTGTGCTTTATTTGCTGCATGTTTTCATGACCATTGATGCCTAGATCCCCATCCCAAACCTAGCAGTATCAACATGCATCAGTTACCTTAACATTAACTTTATAACTTATACATTTTAGATATGTATATTAGCCAAAGGCTTTCATTTAGTGCAGTGTTTTATTAAAAACCATGCTCTTTTTTATTTATTGAATATATTTTTACATTTCCTTTTTAATTATGTAAATATTGTTGGATACTCTCATAGTTTAGAGTAGGACCGCACTATATAGGGGTGCCTTGGCCAGGCGGTGCGGCTTTCACATTTTCTGCAGAAGACGTGTATCTAAACCTCTGTTTTTAACCTTAGCGGTGAGACAAGTTTTTTTGCATGCTAGCTGCTGAGTGTGCTGGGAAATCTTTTGCTGTTGGAGCCTAATACACTCCCCCTCTACACATAAAAAATACTACCCCTGCAAATATAAAATAATACACACACACACACATATAAAAACACCCCCCCCCCCCCCCCCCCCCCACACACACACACACGTATATATATATGTATGTGTATATATATAATACAATTCCCAGTCCCCCCGCATGTCAAATAAAATATAGAGCCCCCTCTCCTGCCTACCTTTTTGCAGGGAGGAGGCAGACCTTACTAATCTATCCAAGTGTGGCACCGAAGCAGCTCTGCGGTCTGCATCCGACATAGATGCAGACCGTGTAGCTGCTCCCACAAGTCGGGTATGCGGTCTGTGACCTGTCAATGAGCTGCCTTGGACATTTTCATTAACGGTTTTACTAGCTGAAAAGTACTCTTCTACAGTACTGGGTTTACTTGGTAAGAGTACTCCTTTACCCCAGTAGGAAAAGCCTAGGCCTCAGACTGGGAAAATCACCCCCTTTCCTAACCAAAAACAGTTCTTTCTACTGCTCACTGGCTTTGAGGCAAACCAAAGCCAGGAGCCCAGTTTCACAGGAAACCATTTGTTTTTGCAGACACTTGGATGGATAGCATCTCAGATGCCTGGATAAGGGAGGTGGTTGCAATGGGCTACAAATTAGAGTTTCCTGCTCTACCTCCTCACTTCATGTCCCGTATCCTCACTCAGATTTGAAGACCTAAATGTAACCCTTGTGGGTCTTCTGGAGCAAGGGGTTATTACCCCAGTTCCTGTATCGCAAAGGCTTCAGGTATTCTATTTCAACCCTTTTACAGTTCCAAAGCCAGAATAGGGCATCTGCCGCATATTGGATCCCAAGACCCTGGATTTCTTCACTCGGTCTCAGAAATTCCCTATGGAATCCAACCAGTCTGTCATAGCCTTTCTTCACAAGGTATGCTTTATGTCTTTGGTAGACATCAAGGATGCATGGTTGCATTTCCCCTCTTTTTCCAGCACATCAGCGATTCTTTCACTTTGCTGTGGGTCCTCAGCACTTCCAATTTGTCACCCTGCTATTCGGTCTATCTTCTGCACGTGCGTATTCTAATTCTAGCCCCTGTGCTAGCCCTGTTAGGGTCCCAGGGCATCCCCATTGTGGGATTATTGCGCGAATTCCTGTTCAGGGAACAGGTGGCATAGGTCCTTTCCAATAGTGTGGAGCGGACAGTTGAGATGCTGAACAGGTTTGCATTAATATTAAACCTTCAGAAGTCTATGTTGGAACTGACTCATCGCTCAAGCCAGAGTTTTCTTCTCCTGAAAATCTTCAACCTCTCCTTTCTTCAGTCCAAGAATCAACTGATTGTGGCCTCTGTCGTGCCAGTACCATTTTCCTAGTCTCACGGTAATCCTCTGCAGCCAAACATCCTAGCCGCGTAGAACAATTCGGTTCAATCTTTGGACAGAACGATTCACCTGACACCAAGGACCAGGTTGTCCCTGGCCTGAGGGCTCAGGAATCTAGCTCTGGAGTTGAAGTCCCTTCTTCTGCTTATACTGGAAAATCATCACAATGGATGCCAGCCTGATAGATTGAGGAGGAGTTCTAGAAACCTTGTTGGTGCAGAGGATGCTGGAAGGTCTTCCTACAAGGATCCGGTCGCACAGCGTTATGGCAGTGGCGTACATGAATTACCAGTGATGAACTAGAAGTATTGCTGTTTTAAGAGAAGTAGAAGTGATCCTGTCCTGGACAAAATCTTTTTATTTAGGTGTGTGTTTCACATATGTCTCCTCGGCTGACAGCAATTGGAGAACTAAGTCATTCTGATGCGTTAGCACCTTTGCAAGGTGAATGTCTGCCCTGTAAGTCATTCTACATATGGATTTGTTTGGTTCATCCTTATGGGAGTTGAGGCATAGGGCCTTATCTACCTACGGTGGCTCTAGTGTCCCTTTTTACCAGGGCATCATTCCTAGATCCTTTGTCCATTCCCACTTCTTTTATTTGAGCTTTACTCCCTGTTGACCACAGTTCAGATTGTGAGTATTTGGGCAATTATTTTTCTTTCCACCCTTCTGGTTGAATAATACTGACCAGCCTTTAAAGCTAAAGGTCTATGCTTTGGTGTTTTCCCTCCCATGTGAAGACATTCCTCACTGGTTATGTGGCCATATTTTCTTGTCTTTGGGCATCTCCTCCTGGCCTTATGTTCCCTTTAGCTGGTGGGGTGTTTGATTACCGGTTGATTGCTGCTGCTACTAGCGGTTTGTGTTCTTCATGTTCTTGGTATTATTTGCTACAAAACTGAGGCATAGTGGTTGTAGGAGGGTGTTCGATCCTCCTGTAAGCTGCAGTATAACCCAATGGTGAAGACTTCCTGTATACCTCAATGAACTTCAAGAAAAGGATTTTACAGCGAGTACAAAAATACTATTTTTACAGCCACCAATTAAAAACGCACCTGGTAATACAGCAAGCAGAGAGAGAGAAATAGGAAGTTATATTCTAAAGGCTTCAGGAAGCTCCCTCCTACAATCATACTCTCGCTGGACTATTTAAAGGAGAACTATGGGGTTAGGGCTTTTCCCCATAGTTCTCCCTAGGTTAACGGGAGGACACAAACTAGCGTCCTCCCATTACCCTAAGCTCAGTCTACCACGAGCTAGAGTTCGCGGTATACTGAGACGCCGCAGCTGAAGCGGATCCCGACAATTATGTCTGGATCCACCCAGCTGCGTGAGTGACAGCTGGCTCTGCCTATCTAGAGGCAGAGCCAGCTGTACCCGCCCCCTCCCCCGTCCGTTCCGCCAGTCAGCGCTGGAGGATCGGAGGGGGGAATCCAGCCACTCCCCTGTCACGGCAGAGAGCTGTGACAGGATCGAGCAGTGAGCGAATGACGGTATGTGTTCGCTCACTTCCCGATCTACTGAGCCGACCTGTGACAGTCTCATTGTCACAGGTCGGCTAGAACTATGAGGTGAGTGAAAAGCACTCACCTCATAGTTCTCTAAGTGGAATTTCTGGCTGTAGTGCTTGCTGAATAGCATTAACAGGAAAATGATTGGTTTCACTTGTTGCCTTGAATTTGAATTTTAAGGTTTTAAAAGTAAAAAACTTTTAAAGTAATTTGCCTGTTTGGGTTTATTAAAGTAGCTAAATGCAGCAATTTCATAATCTTCAATAATCAGCTGAAGTTTGTTCTTTACTAAATTGTTTCAGAGTAGTTAAAGTGTATATAAAGTCAAAACCATTTTAGTTTTAGATAAAGTGGGAAGGGTTAAAACCTCGATCAGGTTGTTTTTCCTGTGTTCTGCTGTTGAGATTACCTTCACTTCTTGTCCTGGAAATGAGGACATTTCTCCAAAGTGAACGTAAACCCTAAAAGAGTTGTCACATGAACAGATGTTCCCATCAGAAGCTTTTCCCTTACCTCTTGCTCTGGTTTTGGATTTCTTCTCATTATTCTGTCTCCTGGTAACAGTGTTCCCAGGAAATATAGAAAGGCATTATGACATTGACAAAATATTACATTTAACTCGTTGCTAATCTATTTATAAAAAGTTGCCTTTACATACACTTTAACTTAAAGCCTAACTCCATCTTTGGTAGTGTATGCAAATAGGAAGTTCCCATCAGCCTGTAAAAAAAAAATAGCAGTTTCAAATGCTATACTCACACAAACGTTTAAAAAAAAAAAATTGTCATTTAGGAAAGAAGGGACGATGTCATTGTATCTAGGCAGGCTGAACACACTGCAGGAAAAGTTGTTTTTCAGACAAAGTTTTCCCAACAGCTCTCTTGGGATTTTTATAGTGCTGTGACATAATAGAAGAACACTAAAAAGTTGACAAAAGTTACCTTTCAAAGGGATAAGCAAAAGGATTGGCATACACTACTGTAAGTATTTAATGCAGCAAAGCAACCATGTGTCCGTCAGTCTTTTTGTGGTGAATGTTAAAGTAAATGCATTTAAACACATGTATACTGATAGTAGCATTTGTACATATAGGCTTTGGCTACAGACCTGCATTTAGCTCAGATGTTAACTTGCCTGTGCTCAAATTTCTCTCCAGTTAGGTACCCAGCTATTAAGGGCGTGGGAGTACTTGATGGGTGTCAGATGCGCCTAATAAGCTCCTCTTCTCAGCTCCTTGTTTTGAGGGGGCAGCGCTAAAGATTTTAATTACTTGGACCCAATGCATTGGTGGCAGATCATATTTTTGATAATTTCTTATTTGTCTTGCAGGAAATAGTTTCTGGCGTCACAATAACTAAACTGCTTCTTAATAGTATTTTAAAAGAAGACAAAGGAAAAGTGTTCTGGTTTACCGCCTCTCAGATTATGACAGCACTTGTTGTGAGTAGTATAATATATATATGCTATTATATTATTCTGTTTGTATAAATTTGCACAAATTAGCTATATAAGTATTCGTGTGTGCTTCTGTGCACAATTAAAAGAAACCTGTTCTGTCTTGCTAAATTTCTTAGCAAATTGAATTCTCTAATGCAGATGATTGCTTCAGTTCAGAAGGTAATAATGCCTCATATAAACAGGTGTGTTCTCTACCACCTAGGTGATGAAACCAAATGGTATTACACAAAAATAAACATGTAGCATACTCTGCTGTTGAAATTTAAGATATGTTAAGATATGTTCTAATTGAAAACAGTTGAGCATTTTTAAATTGGGCTTGGTCATTTATTTTTTTAGATAACATAAGAGCATTATAACCCTTATATATCACAGTTCAGCTGCAGAGCTGAACTATATGCTGTAGTTCTAAAAGCATGTGCTTATCCCTGGTTCCACAGGCATCTAGGGCTGTTCTGTTGCATGTAGTCCTACAGGTATGTGCTCAGTTCCTGTATAATTGCCCTACTGGTCTGGCTGCTTTAGGCATTGCCACATCTCACTTGTTTAATATAATTTGCTTCATGACCAGTTCCTGCTCAACCTCCTAGTTTACCTTTTTCTTTAAGCTGTGCTCAGACTAGCACTCCTTGCCTGAGAAATTGTGTATTCCTAGCCCTAGGTTCCTCTGTTTATCCCCATATTCCAAGGGTGTTTCCTAGTTCCTCTGAGTCCCTTTGTTCCAGAGTGTTCCTTGTTCCAGTAAGTTCAAGTTCCTGAGATCCCAATGTATTCCTTTGACCTGTGTTCTCCTATGACCCCATTGGCACCCATTGTGCATCCTGTACGCTCCTGTCAGCTTCCAGCAACCCTGTACCTACGTGTCCCCTGTGCACTCTAGTCAGCGTACAGTGATCTTGCTCCTGTGTGATCCGAGTGCACTCCAGCCAGCTATTGCTTTCTCTCTTTCTGCTGTTTTTGTGTACCAACCTTTGGCCTTGTCTCCTGGTGTCCTCGCCCGCTGCCTGCTGAGTAGGGTGAACTCAAGGGGTCAGCACACACAAAACTAAAACCCATCTAAACTTTTAGGAGCTCTGGTGAACACTGGTTGACCCTTAGGCTTCTTGTCCTGAGGTATTCCACGCTACCTGCTCAGTATCGTGGTACTCCGTTTTGCCCTCAGATTCCTAGCTGCCTTTTCTATCTCATTGGCCCTAGCTTTCAGCTGTGTAGCTAGGGTCCATATCCTTGAGCCCAAATCCTGAGACCTTAGCACCAGTACTTAAAAGAGCTATGGGGTCAGTGTTTTTCCCCATAGTTCTCTTAAGGGTCACGGGAGGACATATACCATCGTCCTCCCGTGACCCAAAGCTCAGTATATCGCAAGCTACATCTCACGGTATACTGAGACCACCGCAGTTGGGACGGATCCCCACATTACTGTCGAGATACACACAGCTGCGTGAGTGACAGCAGGCTCTGCCTATCTAGAGGCAGAGCCAGCTATACCCACCCCCTCCCTGTCCGTTCCACCAGGCAGCGCTGGAGGATCGGTGCGGGGAAGGGGGGGGAATCCCTGCAGGGAGCCGTGACTGACAGTCAGTGCTCTCTACAGGCAGATAATCGAGAAGTGAGCGAGCGACGGTATGTGTTCGCTCACTTCCTGATCTATTGAGCCGACGTGTGACAGTTTCATTGTCACACGTTGGCTAGAACTATGAGGATGACTGATTTTCACTTACCTCATAGTTCTCCTTTAAAGTAAAAGGCATTAATAAAGTTGACTCTTTGACTCTGCAGTATGTTGGACAGTACACTATACATTCTGAGGAATCCACAAGATTTATACAATGTGTTTAAAAGTTAAATCTGGGTCACATGTAGATATCCAGTTGGAATTTTAATGTTCTGCTGGTGGCACCTCTAAATTTACCAGTAATTGAAGGCTGATGATCTACACCAAAATAAAGGAAGTATAATGAGCATAGGACCCCCAGGTAAATAGTGAAGGAAGATTTTAGGCAACGTCCTACATAAATTTATCTGTAAAGGCAGCACTTTACCACCCTTTGTTTTTTGTTAACTTCCCTATCAACTAGATCAGTCCTGACATCTAGTGGTCGAATTTGTAAACTACATGTAACTTATTTACTTCTGCAGAGATATCTAAATGGTTCACATAGTGTGCAGATACATCTTTTCAATTATATGCAGCATGTTTTACTCATTCAAGTTTCTTTCTAGAAATTGTTGTTTTCCTCTTCCTTTTTGTCCTCTGTTTACCTATTGACCTCTAAAATTAGAGTGGAGGTAATACCAGTCTTTCAGATCCTTTATTGTTTTATTCCTTATCCTTTTTACCTGTTCCCCTTTATAATAAGCTCCTAAATTGGACAGTGTACTGTATCAGATTTTTCCATTCACTTAATTCTTTATAAATCTTTTTGATAATGACTCAAATTTCTAATTTTTTTGGTTTTAAAATATACGCAAGGTTTTTCAAACCATTTTGTGCGGTATTCAGCGCTGCACTACTTTGACATTTATTCAGTCATGCGAAGCCGTACTGAAATGAATTTTCTATAATTTTTTGGGGACAGAGAGAGCTTTCGTGGTTTTTGAAATTTTTTTACTATATAAAGAAAGTACCGATTTTTTTTTTTTCTGGTTTGTATTATGTTATGAAACATTTGTTATTACCCAATTTTTTGGGTAAATAGATAACAAACATGTCAAGCTTTAAAATTGCGCGTGTCTGCGAAATCGCAAAAAACTGTCATACCTAAAATTTGCCATAGTCGACGCTTTACAAGCTTTTAGCACTCATCAGTTTAGTGTGAATAGTGATTAATGGCCCTAGAATTATTGCTGATACTCTGATGTCCGCGGTGATATGTAACATGTGCGACTTAATGGATGCAATAGTCGTTTTCGTACGTAGGCACACCCAACCCGTGCATGTTGGGGGCAGGGGACTTTAAATAATGTTTTGGGTTTTTTATGTGACTTTTTTTTGTTTTCTTTTTAGTTTTTCTGTAACTAATTTTTTTTAAACTTTTTTTTGTTCACTTCGCTTTATTGCTATCACATAGGGAGCTAAGAAGCCCAATTTACAGTGACAGGTCCGCTTTATGGAGCCATCGGGCGTCTCTAAGACCCCTGTCACCTAGGGACCCCCAAAGAAGCTGATGAAGCAGAGATCTGCTTCACCAGCTTCTCTCTGGCTTCTGTAGCCGGGAATGACAGCTGAATGCGGATGTGATGTAATATACAACACTTCTTGCATTCAGAGACCGGTGGGGAGCTCATGTACTGATCTCCAGTGACAGAGCTGCTGTGCCAGTCCCGGGCCCACTCACCTATTTATGTACTGTATTTTTTTTTTTTAAACTTAATTTATAAAGACATCACCCTGGAAATATATAGGCAATAGGGAGGTGAAGAAAGTTTATTTTAATTAAAAATGTTTGTTTCGCTGTATGATTGTATGTTACCTTTTGTCCTTATTTTCATAGGATATTTGTCCTTATTTGCATCTCTTATGTTAGTCCCTGTCCCTAAAAGTGCTTACAGTCTGATATACCAACCACAGGTATACAGACATGCAATCTTTGATCTCTAGTAAGAAGGTAGTTAAAGTGACAGTAAACTCGAGTTAAACCTAAAAATGTATTCCAGTACGTGAACTATTAACAAAAATGTATCTTGTGTATCAGCCAATATATGCACAGAGTTTGCATGTTCTCATGGTTTGTGTATTTCCTTCAAGTGCACAAACTCCTCCTCGTAATTTAACAGACACTAAACTTAGAAGTTAAGGCTTAAGAATAAATTCAAGTACCATAACTATTAATAAAAATGCAGCTTATTTGTGCATCACTCAGCTGTAGATCCTCAAATCATCTCTAAATTGGTGCTGACACTGTCCCTCTTTCTGGAGGGTGGTTACTTTGTTCTCCATGGTCCCTGTTTGTGTTGTAAAGTAGCTCCAAGCTCGCTCCTGTGATGAACTACAATCTCAGGCTTGGTTAGCTAATTTGTATTGAAGTTATAGTCTTAACACGGGAACGAGGTTGGAGCGGTGGCTACTTTACAACACACACAGGAACCATGGGGAACAAAAGTAGCTTCTGAAAGTGTCCTTCCAGAAGGAAGGACAGTGTCAACACCAGTTCAGAGATGATTTGAGGATCTACAGCTGAGTGATGCACAAATAAGCTGCATTTTTGTTAACAGTTATGGTACTTGAATTTATTCTTAAGCCTTAACTCCTAAGTTTAGTGTCTGTTAAATTAAGAGGAGGAGTTTGTGCACTTGAAGGAAATACACAAACCATGAGAACATGCAAACTCTGTGCATATATTGGCTTAGTTGGAATTGCACCAAGGAGCCCAGTGCTGCAAGGTAACAGTGCAAACAATAAGTATTGTAATACTATCCTAAATAATTTTGTTTTGTGTGAATATGCAGTTACAATAAGATATGAATCACTTTTATTGTCGTTCAGATGTTTTTCCATGGTATTTACTCTATGTAATAATGTTGCAGTTCTGCAACTAAATTTTCTTCCCATTGTTGCAGACTCTTGCTAATGAAGCTTGCAAGGACCGCTCACTGCTCTCCGAAATTGTTGTGCCTGTGATGGACACTATGGCCTTGTTGTTAAGGCGTGGAGAGATGTTTCTGATTAATCCTCACCATGTGACTCTTTCATTCAGAACGCTCCTCACTGTGCCTCTGGATCACTTGAGGTTTGAAGAATACTACAGTATATTCTTGGCAGTACATGAAGTGCTGTTTTCAATACTGCAGTGTCATTCCAAGGTAAACATTGCATTCTAAAACAAACATTTTGCAGATCATAAGAAAAATACATTTAGTGAGGCACATTTTTACATTTTTGTTGGAATTTAATTTGTATTTGTTTTATTTATAAAACCTGTTTTAATATTTATTTTTAGAAGTCCTAAATTAAACCATGTTTTGGTTGAAGGTATGTGAAAAATGTAGGGTCTATTCATACATTTTTTCACACAATATTAATACAGCTTTCACTCAACAATCATGCATATTTCTATTTGAATTGTGTGAATGTTGTGTGAATATAAGAATAGATAGATTGTGTGATTATAAGAAAAAAAAGCACAGGGGTCCATTTATAATTTTATATAATATAGGAATATTATATAAAATTGTAAATGGACCCCTGTGCTTTTCTTTCTATTTTAACAAAATGCTTCTTTATCTCTGCATATGGAGTTAGTATGTATACTTTGCGTCACCAGTCATATTAGCTTGAAAGGTTGGCGTTAAAGCTGAACTCTGGGCACAAATAAGAAAAATAATGAATATTGCCTACCATGTCCTTGGGTATAACGGTATCAATTTAATTCTCCCTTCAGTCAATGATCTAGCAGTCAGACCACACTCGCTAGACGTTATAAATAAAAATGTAAACCAACAGGGTTATTCACTGAGCTGCCGAACGGCAGTGAGTGAATAGCGGAATGCCACCGAGCGGCATTCAGCTCGGCTATTCTGAATAGAAAATCAGTGAAAACTGTTGAGAAAAAAAAAAAAAGGTTTAAAATGTAAATACTCAAATTAAAAAATAAAGATATTTAAAAAAAGAAAAACTGTTTCCTATTGGCCAGCACTTGCTAGAGTCTTCTAATCTGTCATTACAACTGGGCGGAGCCAGCCGTGAGATCACGGCTGGCTCCGACAAGCTGTCATTTGCCTGCCGTTCGCCCCGCTTGGGCTGTCACTTTGGCTCAGTCGAGCCGAAGCATATGCCTTCAGCTCGGTCGCCTTCTGCACGGGCCCTTCGGTTAGACTGGATATAGCTGAAGGTATGTTTTCAGCTCCTTCGTGAATAACCCCCTAAGTTTCAGATAGGTGCTGGTATTAATGATAGGGGCATATCCTACAGTTCCACAATGGAAAGTGTATTGCAGGGCATCTCGACTCCACTGTCAAGCTGTACAAGGACTGTGGTCCTTATGTCTGCAAATCTTTATTTTTTAGTAAACCTGAAATCTGGGCTAGACAAATGTTGTCTAAATATAAGTTGTATACTTACTATAAACAAAACTATACTCCCCTCCTCTTCAGCGATGCGAAGTCCCAAGCTCCCTTGCCAGCCACTGACATCTTCGCATAGTCTTCTTCCTGGTACCGTATCTTTGGGCCACACTGGGGTGACTTAACTCCCACACATGCGTTTGCAGCTCAGTGTTCATTGAGTGTACATTGCGAACAGACAGGTAAGAATTTTTTAATGCAAAAGAGACATATGTCTCTTATACAATAAAAAATTGCTTGCTTGAAATATTTTATTTGTGCAATTAAGTTCCACTTAAACGTTAGCGTTCTTTATGTATTGCTTCCAGATCTGTGCAGTAATTGGCATGAAGCAAACTCTGCACTTTGCCACAGGAGCTTCCTGTAATAAAAACTGGTTACAGTTCTCTTTCCTTATACAAGGTAATTGACCTTGTATCTACCCCCTTGTAGTTTTCTACAGCCTGTGGTGGGTGTGGACCCGCCGTGTCCCAATGCACAGATCTGCTTTCTGCACAGACAGCTCAGTGCAGCTCAGTGATGTCAATGCTACTTTTACAAGCAGGTCTGGATTTGCAAAGGAAGTTAATGTACACAAAGGGGATTTAGGTCCTTTGTGGCTATTGAGGAATATATTCAATCAAAAGTTTATGTGGCTGGAGTTCAGCTTTAAATAAACATGTCAGTGTAGAATATGCTAACATACTGTATGCTATTTGACAAGGACAGAAAGTGGGGTTTTGAGAGCACCAAAGGAACTTACTCCACAAAGAAATTCATATAAAAGAGTTAATTTTAATTACATTCATTAAAAACAAAGGCTAGATATACAATCCAAATTAAAATCAGCTAATTAGATAGCTCCCTGTGTGCTCTCTCCATATGTACCCTTCCTACAGCATGATTAAATCATAACAAGATAAGTGCATAGTTTAGGAAACAATCTGATAATACAGACGATCAAGGATAAGGGATAACAATTCCTTAGAAGCTTAAATGCTGTATGGAGTTGGTGGAGGTTCCAACGAATATATGCTTTGCTTTTTCTATTTTTTCTACATAGAAATTGCATCAGGATAACCAGAAATTATAGAATAATAAAATATGTACCTATGTATTGTACAACTGTTTTGAAGTAACATAGATTCTGTTGACTTATGTTTTTATGGCACCTACTATTCGGACCCAAATCGAAAACCATCGTCTATATATACTGTATGCTATATCAAGCTTTTTCTGGGTGTGTGTATCAGCACCCTCAAAAGGGGCATTTCTGGATCTGAAGATTGCAGAATTAAAGCGAGTGGATATGTGCAGTACAGGATAAAAGCTGAGCTACTCAGCTGTGTGCACTTTCAAAGCTGATTTTTCAGTTTGTACTGTATCTTTAAAGAAATTATTACCAGTATGTCTCTTATCTGTTTGTCATTGACTATGTTTTTGGTTCCTGTTTTTCTTCCTACCTTAAGGCAATGCTAAAATCAGTTGCACCATTTTTGAGCACTTTCCATAGATTGCTATCATCTGTCATGCATGAGGGACAACAGAAAGGAGATAAAGGTACAGTACTATTAAACAACTCAGTTTTTCACAGCTATACACAATTTTCTGCTTCCCAGTTGTTCAGATGTCTGTACAAAAAAGGGTCAAAGCCATATATTCTTGTAGAAATCATCACGGGTTTATTATTCTTCATCTTTTAACAGGTACAGCTCATGAATCGGCGATTATTTTGAAATGTGCACAACTAGTGGAACGAATGTACACTCATATTGCAGCTAAAACAGAGGAATTCACAGTCTTTTCTGCTTTCATGGTTTCACAGTATGTCAATGAGCTACAAAAGGTATGACTAGCATTTTTTTTTTCTCTGACATTAAAGGGTCAGTGCAACCAAAATTCATATTGCATAAATAATCTTTTTTGACCGTACAAATCTTACATAGATTTGAGATTAAACATCTTGCAGGTGGTTTTCTTTAGCACCATAAGAAGAATTGCACCTCTTAGCATCTGTACAGGGAAAAGCATGGGCATCTTATATGGGAGGCAGCAATACCATGGTGGGATCTGGGTAGTACATGAACACTACAGCTTTCTGCAATGGGAGGACGTGTATGTTCCATTCAGTTTACATTCTGCATTGCTAGTGTAATTTTATATATTAACCTGTAGATGGGTATAATTTTGTAATTGAGTGCGATTGATGGTATATAACAAGTTTACTTTTGCTTAGGTTACACTTCAACCTGCTGTGAAGAAGCACCTTACAGGAGGTATCTTTCACATTTTGGACTTGTGCATTGACCGTGATATTAAGTTCCTAAATGCATCCTTACAAATGGGAGTGAGAGAAGTATTCAAAGAACTGTACCAGGAATATACTCACCAGCACAAACAAAGGAATAGAACAGAAGAAAAATATACTGTGTTATAACATACAATATGTATTATTCATTGAAAATACCCCACCATGATGTGCCATACCTGTGGACTGAAAACAAAAAAGTCTGTCTAATGTTTTAAACTCTTGTTTAACAGATTTACCTTGCTGCATACTTGCACTGATCACATAATGCAAAAAAAGTAAATTACATTTTTTTTACATTTACCAATTATTACTTTTATTGTGATTTTCTAATATTTAAACAGCTCAATGTTTCACTCATGCACACCTTTTATGGATAAAATAAATTGAAGTAGAGTATACAGAATGGAAACAGTGCAGTGTATTTATAAGAATCCTATAGTAGTATTTTTAGTATAATGTACCATAACATCTATACCAGGTTGAATATAGAAAAATTGAGGATTCAAGTCCTGTGTGACGGCGCTATCCTGAGGGATGGGGTTTTTGTTTTGTTTTTTTGTTTCTGACTTTCTCAGAACATTTGATTGGGTGGGGGCTTTGTGGAGGAGGATGGTGTTGAGATGGGGGTGGCGTGCGGCTTCAGTTCAAAATGGACCGGGGTGTATACTTGGGGGTGGGGGACGGCGATCACATCCTGTGTTGGATACGGAGCTTGCGGTGCGGGCAGTGGCTCTCTGACGAGGTGCGCAGGCGCCGCCGAGCGACGGCGGTCGTGTTGGTCCAAAAATGGATAGCCTAGACTACCACAAGCGTCCTATCCATTTTTGGACCAACACGACCGCCGTCGCTCGGCGACGCCTGCGCACCTCGTCACTCAGCCACCTCGTACAGAGAGCCACTGCCCGCACCGCAAGCTCCGTATCCAACACAGGACGTGATCGGCATCCCCCACCCGCCAGCGTACCAGATTTTCCTCAAACACAGGACGTGGTTGACGTCCACCAGCCACCACCAGACCAGACGCTCCAGCTCCGCCGAAACAACGTGACCCGAGTCATCGCAACCCAGCCCAGCAGCACGTCCCACACACAGGCATCCGATAGAATCGCACCCCGACCCGGCATCTGAATCCCTGCACCAGGAGCTACCCTATTGTTTGGATTGCAGGCTGCCCTTTGGTTCCTACTGTATGGAAGGGGTTAACAAAGGGGGGATTGATCGCTGACATCTTTTGCTGCCATTCAACATGTAGGAGGCATACACCCGATGCTGCTGTGGCTTTGCCAGGAGCCACGTGGAACTCCAATCTTTGATCTGTTCCTGCTGCCCAAATACACTATATTGCCAAAAGTATTGGGACACCCTTCCAAATCATTGGATTCAGGTGTTCCAATCATCTCCATGACCACAGGTGTATAAAATCAAGCGCCTAGGCATGCAGACTGCTTCTACAAACATTTGTTAAAAAATGGGTCGCTCTCAGGAACTCAAGCGCGGTACCGTAATAGGTTGCCACCAGTGCAATAAGTCCATCCGTGAAATGTCCTTGTTACTAAATATTCCACGGTCACCTGTTAGTGGTATTATAACAAAATCTAAACAACTGGGAACAGCCACGAAGTGGTAGGCCACGTAAAATGACAGAGCAGGGTCAGCGCATGCTGCAGCGCACAGTGTGCAGACGTCGCCAACTGTCTGCAGACTCAATAGCTACAGACCTCCAAACTTCATGGGGCCTTCAGATTGGCACAACAACAGTGCATAGAGAGCTTCATGGAATGGGTTTCCGTGGCCAAGCAGCTGCATCAAAGCCTTACCACCAAGTGCAATGCAAAACGTCGGATGCAGTGGTGTAAAGCACGCCGCCACTGGACTCTAGTGAAGTGGAGACGTGTTCTCTGGAGTGACAAATCACGCTTCTCTGTCTGGCAATCCAATGGGCGTGTCTGGCTTTGGCGGTTGCCAGGAGAACGGTACTTGCCTGACTGCATTGTGCCAAGTGTAAAATTTTGTGGAGGGGGGATTATGGTGTGGGGTTGGCCCCTTAGTTCCAGTGAAGGGAACCCCTAAGGCATCAGCATACCAAGACATTTTGGACAATTTCATGCTCCAACTTTGTGGGAACAGTTTGGGGTTGGCCCCCTCCTGTTCCAACAGGACTGCGCACCAGTGCACAAAGCAAGGTCCATAAAGACATGATGAGCGAGTTTGGGGTGGAGGAACTTGACTGGCCTGCACAGAGTCCTGACCTCAACCCGATAGAACACCTTTGGGATGAATTAGAGCAGAGACTGTGAGCCCGGCCTTCTCGTCCAACATCAGTACCTGACCTCACAAATGCGCTTCTGGAAGAATGGTCAAACATTCCCATGGACACACTCCTAAACATTGTGGACAGCCTTCCCAGAAGAGTTGAAGCTGTTATAGCGGCATAGGGCAGGCCAACTCAATATTGAACCCTATGGACTAAGACTGGGATGCCATTAAAGTTCATGTGCGTGCAAAGGCAGGCGTCCCCATGATTTTGGCAATATAGTGTATGTTGCTCCACTGTCAAGCTCACACTCTACTAGCAGCTACAGCATTCCTTGCCTATTGATTCAGCCAATGTCTGGAGCCTGGAATCATCTTGCCCCCTGCTCCTAGAGTCTATGCTATCTTTTGGAGTCTTCCCTAGTTTTGCCAGGAGTGGCCTCTGCTCTGCACAAGAAGGTTTTTACTGAAGTCATGCTTCACTTTATGGCCAAAATCATAATGTTTGACTCTGAATGCAGAGGCCACAAGTGCTCCCACACCGTCCCTTGCAGTTTCTGTATCAGATCTGCCTGTGGCCTCCAAGACATCAGTAGCTGAGCCTGATTTTGAGTCTCTCCAGTCACTACAAGATGAACTTGCCTATAAGGAAGAGACTGTTTCAGCACTTATTGATGTGCTACACAGCACTTTGAAGCTAGAGGATCAGCCTGTTGCTTCCACTAATGCTCCTAGTCTGGGATCCCTTAGCCCTCGTTCACACCTAGGCGTATTGCATATGCGCGACCGTCGCGCGTTTTTTACCGCGATTCGCGGTAAAAAAGTTGCGCGACCGTCGCGCGTTTCCCAAGGCTACTTGGCTGTATCCCAATGGAAACGCGAAAAAAAACGGCCCAAAGTAGTACCTGTCCCTTTTCAGGCGTGGCCCGTTTTGTAGCGCGTTAGGGACGGGCGGAAATACGCTAAGGTGGGAACGAGACCATTGAATACAATGGGATTTATATTTTTGAGCGTTTTGTAGAGCGTTCGTCGAGCGTAGAACGCGCTACAAAACGTTCAGGTGTGAACGAGGGCTTAGAGCTCCTAAGACTACTAAGACCTTGTTGGTGCACCTGACATTTCAAGTCTTTCTTTATGGAGACTGGAAACACTTTTACAAGTTTGTTTTTCCAAAGCGCTTATTAGCCTTGAACCCATTTGAAGAGGACTTTATAAACAAGTGGACTGCCCCCCTCTGTGGATGCAGCAGTGTCCTGTCCTAGCAAAGAAACCACCATCCCAGTGGAAGTCCCAGATTACCCAGTTTTTCAACTCTGATTGCAGAGGCCGCAAAATGCCTTCCCTAGCCGAGTCTTTATCCAATCTATCCGTGGCTTTAATGGCTTTTGACCCATTGACCACAGAAACTCCAGTTTGAGTTGCTCAAATCTCTGAATGATGAGCTTTCCCCTGAGGAGTCGCAGTCCACTGCTTTTGCACCAAAGTTCAAGGAGACCATTACAGCTTTTTGATGACATGTCCACCTCTCTGAAGCTAGAGGATACTGGATACCGGTACTGTTTTTGGCCTTGGGCCCTTTAGGTCCAAAGACCTTAACTTTGCACCTACTTTAATTATTGCTGCGTGTAGATTGGAAATGCCATGATCAGCTGTAGGGGTTTTACTTGAGCCTATTCACTGTCCCAAAACACAAAGGTGGCATTGTTTACATTCGGTCCCCAAGATTCCATATGGAATCAACCGGATCTGGCAAATTCATCCCTTCACTTAGCGAAATTCCTGGCTTTTGTCAACATAAAGGATGTCTACTTACATGTGCCAAACTTTCTGGCTCACCAACACTTGTGTTTTGCTGTAAGGCTTCTGCACTTCGTAGCCCTTCCATTTGGCCTAGTTTCAGTTGGTGAGGGTGCTCTCTGCACACCTTATAACAGTCCCGGCCAGTTTCTACTTCCATTTGGCCTGTCTTCTTCACCAAAGTGGTGGCTCCCAATGTTGACCCTTTTAACTATTTTTATCCTTGACACACGTGAGTAGTAATCCACGTAATTACAAATCAAGTGTGTTAAAGGAGAACTATGGGGTTCTATCTTTTTTTTTATGAATGCATTCCTTAGGCTAAATAAGTAAATAATGTAATTTACTGTAATTAGCCAAAATGCACAGGAAGGCTGTAAAACCTTATTTTAGGTGGTGGGCGGGGCTAAGCGCCGCAATGAGAAGACATCCCGACGTATCTGACGGGATCCTCCCCACTGATGATTGACAGTGATTCTTGTCCACGAATATATGGACATGCGCAGCAGCTCTCTCCTTACCTGCACATCCCCGTGTGCCAGCTCCTTCCCTACTCTCTCTTTCTCTCCCTGCTGACAGATCGTGGATCGCTGATGACAGAGGGGAAGGAGCTCTCTCTCTCTCTCTTCAGCATTTACTACAAATCGGAAAGTCCATATATGGTAAATGATGTCACTGGAGATCCCTGCTGATCCCCGCTGTAAAACGCTCAACATGTGAAAACCGCTCTGAAAAAGCTGTTTTTCAGCGCGTTTCCATTGGTATTCCCGAGTGTGGATCGGGGTTAACAAAGCGGTAACCCCGAGCCACACTCGGTAATACAGCGTACAGGTCTTACCCTGTCCGCGATGCCCTCTGTGTCCTCCGGCGGCTGCCAACTTCCGGGTTTCCGTCCCTTGCGTGCGGCCGCATCGAAGGGGGGCGGAGCCGGTGGGAAGTTTTAAAGTGAAAAAAAAAAATTAAATGAGAAAATAAGGAAAAAAAATTAAATGAATCATACCGCCAGTGAAACGCGCGTTTCACTGAATGGAAAAACGTGCTAAAAAACTAGCTTAAAAAATACGCTCAGGTGTGAACCCAGCCTTAATGTTTTTGAGGTGTGTGTGTTTGTGTGTGTGTAAAAGTAAATAAATGTGCCTGTGGGGTCCATGGAGGTGGGATGCCGTTACATCATGACTAATAATGCTCAAAGGGTACCTGTTGATACAGATTTTAGTTGTGTTTAATCATTGTATGGTTCTCTGTTATATGAATATGTTTTATTTGGCAATTATGTGTTATTGGCATTCCTCTCATTATGACCCCACTAAATACTGTTTGGTTAATTTTGTTCAAATTAGGGGTGTGGTGTCCCGTGTTCCACTGGTGGTTCATAACATGTTATATGATCTTAAATTGGCCAAAAAGGGTATTACCCTAGCTTTAAATATTACCTGCAAAACACTTTTTCTGAAACCAAGCTGGTATCAACTAACAGGTGCCAGTACAGAGGAGACCTGTCTCAGTTTAGAATAGGAAATTAAACATTGCAGTGTCTCCTGCTCACCCCTGCCCTATGATTCCATAAGTAACTTGCAAAAAAAAAAGCATGGTCAAATACCTCAATATAATATACAGTGCATTTAATGCATACACAACATATTTACATAGGGCATATTCATAAAGCAGTTCATGTGACATTCACTATATATTCACTGTTGGTGAATCAGTCACTGTTACTTAAACACTCACACTTGGAAGATTCCCCAGCAGATAATTTTTGGTGAATGTCAGACTCACTGTTTTATGAATATTCCCCTATGTAATAAGTATTACATTTCCACTCCTTCTTTGAACCACACATTAGGCTTTCTTCTCATCTTCCTATATGCAGTTCCGTATTGTGGTCACTATTTCTTGCAACATGGTATCTCTGTTTTCTTTTGTAATCTACAATGAAAGATGACAAATGTTACCACGCAGAATGTTACCATAAGTGACATTCAGCCTATTTCTCAAGAATGAAGAGCTTTTATTCTAATCTAAAATAGAACTAACCACTAAGTAAATCCATAAATCAATCTCCATTTTTTTCTCAAAAAAAACCAGTGGGAAAATGTCTTGTGTACTTTGTTTTTCAAGACAGAAACAACCTCCAATTTGTATCAGGTTTGAATATAAAATTTGTATGTTTTATTTAGGAAGAAATAGTAAAAGTAAGAGTGCAGTTTCTTCTAATTTTTCAAGGACTGTTTTTATAAAATTAGCACTTCTAGCTGCCCATTAATGTTTGTCCAAGCTAACTACTTTATAGGGATGCTGTCTGAGTGCACCTTATATGTAACAGAATGCAGCCACTATATAAAAAGGCAAAGGATGCCCATTTCCCTTTGGGCACTTGAAGTATATCTAGTTTTCCTAACTATAGGGATATCACATAAGTGTTCCCTTTTATATTTAAATCTGTTGCTATGTTGAGAACATTTAAATAGGCCCAGCCTGCAATAAAAAAAGCTTTATACTTACCTTTCAGGTGGTGTTTAATCAGCTCTTTGTTGAAAGGCATTGGATGCCACTATTATCAGAGACTTTTGGGTAATTCTAAAAGTGTCCCCCTCACATTGTGCTGTGGGTCCTCTTGCGGATCACGGGAGGAGCCAGAGAGCTCAGCGAGCAACAAGCTATCTGACAGACCCAGAAGAGTTGGAAAGCAGCAAAGCACAGAGCTTTTGTAATCTCATCATAAAGTGTAAAATAACAAAACTTTTTTTTTACATTTGCACCATTTTTCAACTTACGGTATATTAAAAACAAACAGGAAACTTATTTATCAAATACAAGCCTTAGGCCTTGTTCACACCAAGCGCGTTCCAGGAGCAGAGCAGTTACAGACCAGAGCAAAACTGCTTCCAATGTATTCCAATGGTATTTTTAGCTCCAGTTCACATCGCAGCGTTCCGTTCCAGAGCAGGAAAAAAAACCTGCAGCAGGCCCTATTTTACCTGCTCTGGAATGCATGCAAACGCATCAAAAACGCATGCAAACACCCTGAAAGCCCATTTTAAACTAAAAAAAATATTTGTTACCAAATACGGCCCGAAACGCATCAAAACGCGGCAAAACAATGTGGCACAACACACTGCACTGCATTTGGTGTGAACAAGGCCTTATACTTTCTCCTATTCTCCCTGTGCCCCTACTAAAATATTTGCATTACCTTCAGACCAGATCTTCTTTTATTGTGCATAACAAGTGATTGTTTGACAAACAAACTGTAGTTAAAGGAGAATTGCTGTTCATTCTACACTAAATAAAATAACCAAATAACATAAAGAAATGCATATTTGAGAAAATATATAAAAAAATGCATTTCTTTCATTTTTGCATTGCAATGGTGATCACTTAATCAGGGCTGCAGAGCTCAGGCTTCTGCACATTCTCATACAGGCAGAGCTCCATACACTGGTTAGATGAGAGAATATGGACAGCTCTATCGCATCTAACCAGAGAGAGCATGGCTGGATGCTGTATGAGGTGATTTAATGCTATGAAGTCCAGCTGTCCTTCCCCCAACTCTCCTAACTGAAACTCCGTAACTCAGTACAGAGCGCTGCCTGGGAGAGAATGTGCTGAAGTCTGAGCTCTACAGCCCTGATCAACTGATCACTGTTGCAATGCTTTCCAGTCTTGAATGCAAAAATTAAAGAAAGGCATTTTTTTTAAATATTATCAAATATACATTCTTTAATCTCTGCAAAAGGTGAACTTAGCCTTTAACCCTTTCCCTGCCACCGCCGTAAGGCATACGGCAGAACAAAACTGTTCACAATATGCCAGGTCAGTATACCTTATGGTAGTGCCATTTACAGTTCTGCTTACGCGTATGGTACGGTTACTATATCCTCAATTATGAATGAATGGGAGTGATCTGTATCCCCTCCTGTTCATTCATGATTGTGGTTATAGTAAACATACCATGTCCTCCTGTTATCAATTAACAGGAACACTCAGGATTCCTGTTCATTGATAACAGGGGACACAGAAAAAGAGATTGAGGACTTTGTGTTCTCAATCTCGAGATTATCAGGGGTCTGTTTAGACCCCCAATATTTCCCCGAAGCCCCTAAAAGTAATATAAAAAATATTTAATAAAAAATGAATTCATAAATAAAATAAATATTAAAAAGTTTATAAAAAATAAAATATTTAAACAATTTGAAAAAATTTAAATAAAAAACATTTTCAGTTTCGGCCTGACAATTTTTTTAATTTCGGTTTTAAAATTTCCATTTCGGTGCACCTCTAAATATAATCATTTACCTTGTTCCCTCGATCACTTTATTTTAAATAAAGTTTTAACATGCTGTTATTGTCACTTACGTTAAGCACTTTAACATCCTGACGATGTCTAATTTCTTCAACAAGTGGAAGCGGTTTTCCTTTTGGTACTGGGATGGTTCCAAACACTACAGCATTTGAAGAAGCAAAAATTTTATGGACAACAAAAATTAATTTCTGACTAAAGAGCTCCATTTTTCCAATTTCATCGATGACGCATACAGACTTTTGTGCTGAATTTCCATTTTTCAGCTGTTGGCAAAACACGAATGTTGTCATCAAAACTAAATTTATTGTCTAATTATTCAAACTAAAGGACAAATACATCTGACATTTTATGTGATGATCCACTACATGAAGACAGACTCACATCTTTTATTTTCGTATGTGATTGTGCAAATTTAATATGTATTCTGCATTTTTATGTACAGTAAAAAGTCAAAAACACATTTTAAACAACTTTAGGCAACAGATGTAAGAAATCCACTGGCTTCTTGAATTTAATTTGTTAGGCTTAAATGCTAAAAAAAATACTTTTCTCAATACAAAACTTACAAATGATTTCCTGTATAAAATGAGCCAGTAAAGAGGTCATTAGGAGTCCTTATTAGTTCACAAGAGTACCTTATTACTTAATTTCTGCCAGCACAAATTCTGTGCCCTCTGTTAGTCACAAATATTACATTAAAGAACTCCAGTAAATGTAAAGTTAACCCTTGCAGTGGGGCTACTGCAAGGCTTAACTGCTTGTTTTGGTCTAGTGGCTAAAGGAAAATATTAAGGATGCACTGATACCTAAACTAGTATTGGTGCAGACACCGAGTATTTGGACGAGTACTTGTGCTCCCAATACTTATCCCGATACCGAAACTTCCATTATCAGGAAGCCGGCAGGGAGTCATTACACACCGCCTGGCTTCCTGATTGGCCAGGAAGCCGGTTCCATGCTCCCTTGTCATTTGGTGACGAGGGAGCATTGAGCCAGCCTCTCGGCCAATCAGGAAGCCGGTTGGCATGCAATGACTCACCGGCCAGCTTCCTGATTGGTCGGGAAGCTGGGCCAATCAGGAATCCGGGCGGCGAGTCATTACCCACCCCCCGGTTTCCTGAAAGCCGGCTCCATGCTGACGAGGGAGCATGGAGCCGGCTTCCTGGCAGTCTGATATCTCTCTGTCTCATTTCTTCTGTCTCTCTGGCTGGAAAGTTTGGACAGCAGAAAGAAAGTTTGTATAAAAGTAAGGCTACCCTCTTGTGAAAGCCGCCTCCATGCTTCCTTGTCACCTAATAATGAGGAAGCATGAAGCCAGTTTCCCTGCTAATCAGGAAGCCTGGTTGCGAGTCATTACATGTTGCCCGGCTTCCTTAATGTCGGTACTCGATGCCGAAAAAACGGTATCTGTACATCCCTAGAAAATATACTCACCTGATCCTCGACCCTGCTGGGGTGCTAGATCGGTCTCCGCAGCCTCTCCTCCCTGGGGCTCTGGCGGTCTGAGGATCCGTGACATCATCAAGTCTAATGCAGCTGGATGCCAAGGGAGAGATGTGATCGTTGACAGCCGTAGGATCAAAGATAAGGTGAGTATATTTTCCTTATTTTTGCCCCTAAACCAAAAACGAGCAGTTAACCCTAGCCCATTGCAAACGTTCATTTTTACATTTCCTGGAGTTCTTCAGAAAGTACAGAAATTACCCGGATTATAGTTCATGGAGTAACTTACATCCTCTGGCTGCATACACACATCAATCAAACGGAATATTTCATATGATGACCTGCTTACTGGACTTGTGAGAAATATTTTTTCTCAAGTAGGTCAGATCAGTCACTGAGGGGAATTCATAAAAACTGGAGCATGTGGAATCTGGAGCAGTTGGTCATAGTAACTAATCAGCATGCATCTTTCCTTTTCAAAAATAAACTAAACAAACTGAAAAGACAAGTTATTGTTTGCCATTGACAACTGCTCCAGTTTTTTAAATTCCCCCCACTGTATATTCTTCTTATAGTTGCAGCCAATTAAAATAGGGATGTTCAGATACCAGTGCCGATACTTGGCATTTTCACAAAACTACCAGTGTCAAAGCGGTTGCAGCTGGGACCTAGCTGTCCTGAAATTATTAGTCTGTATTGTTTTAGAAAAACGGTCAAATGACAATAAGCAAAAATGTATCAGTATTTGTATCTGTGAGTACTTGGACAAGTATCAGTATCGGTGCATCTCTTATATATATTTATAAAAAACAATCATACATAAAAACAGGGATGCACAAATCCCAGGAGCTCCGTATGCTCCTTACAAATTACAGCTGCCTCCTAACTTTTGAATTTTTCTCTAGTCTAGTCTTGGAGCTGGAAAACAAATGTTTTTTTTCTTCAAACACTCTACAATAAAAACAAGACAACTCACCATGCAGTCCAGTGTCGGAAGTACAAAATCCTCAAATGAACTAATATCCACAACATACTGGCCAACTCTGTATTCATGTTTCCCATCAGACTGACCAATTCTAAAACAAAGACAAATTCCTGCTAAAATGGTTCTCAAACAAGGTTACACAGTACAGTTAAGGTATAGCTATACACAAAATTAAAAATAGCCTTCAGAGAACAAACATGTACACATAGATTACCACCTACATGCACCTAATTAAAAAAACAAAAAAATATGACTGAGATTTAAATCAAATACATTTTAGCTGATACAGAAAAGTTATTTCTTGTTCATTGAGGAAGACAGGCATTTAAAGTCAATTGGGTTATACTGCTGCCTACAGGAGGATTTGGACAGTCAAGCGATCGGGCGTCTCTATAGACGCTCGATCGCTTGTATCAGCAGCTGTCACTGCCGTTGCCGGTCCCGTGATCCGTTGTGCCCGATGCGGCCGGGACTGGCACGGCTCTGTGACAGGAGATCAAAGGGAGTTCAGTATACAAACTCCCTTTGATCTCCTCTCAGTCCCCCAATGCAGGAAGTGATGTATATTGCATCACCTCCTGCATTCAGTGTCACTCTCCAGATACAGAAGTTGATGAAGCCGATCTCTGCTTCATCAGCTTCTCTGGGGGTCCCTAGGTGACATTAGGGGTCTTCGAGACCCCTGATGTCTCCATAAAGAGGACCTGTCATGTAAATTGGCTATCCCATAGGGGGCTTCTTAGCCCCCCATGTAATAGCAATAAAGTTGTGTTAAAAAAAAAGTAATAAAAAAATTAAAGAATCATAAAAAAAATAAAGAAGCGAATGCAAGGCCTGAAAATATGTTCTCTAAATTTTAGGGGTCTGAACTCACCTCAGAAACGGTCACAACTCCTGTATGATCTAAACAAACTCCATAGTCAGATTGTCTTCTTGCAGGAGACTCATTTTCTACTTGCTAAAGCTCCCCTCCTTACATGTCGCAACTTCCCCCGATGGGTATATAGTTCCAATCCTGATGGTAAGACCAAGGGAGTGGCGATAGGATTCCATTCCTCGTTGACGTGTGAGATACTTGCTGACAGGGTCGACCCAGATAGGAGGTATGCTTTTGTGCAATGTTCCATTCAGAATAGGACATTCACATTGGCTAACGTGTATATGCCGAACCAGGGTCAGGTCCCTATGTTATTGTCTATTCTCTCCAAACTTGCGGATTTCACGGAAGGCGTCCTCATTTTGGGAGGCGATTTCAATCTGGTGTTGGATCCTAGTCTGGATACTACCTCGGGGAAGTCACAGATCTCATATCCTTTGCTTAATAAACTTAAGAAACGCCTCCACTCTCTACAGCTCGTGGACGCATGGAGGGTTTTGCATCCGCGCCACAGGGACTACACCTGTTACTCTGGCCCGCACAACTCGTATAGCAGGATTGATTTCTTTTTGATCTCACACCATCTTCTTTCATGGGCCCCTACTGCTGATATTGGCACACGAATCTGGTCCGATCATTCCCCGGTGTTTCTCACTTTAGAGGTCCCGGGTATGTGTAAACCATCTTATACATGGAAATTAAACGAGAATCTTCTCCTGGACCCGGTCTGTAAATCGGACGTGGCATCCTCCCTTACCCACTTTATCTCTGATCATGCAGATGACCCCACACCTGCCCCGATCCAGTGGGAAGCTCTCAAAGCCACGATTCGAGGGGTGTTCATAAAACACGGCTCGCGACTGAAGCGGGAACGGGGGCTTAACCTGTCAAACCTGTTGTCCGACCTTACTTCACTGGAAGCTGCGCATAAAAAGGCTCCATCCCCCACAATGCTTCAGGATTACTTGCTACACTTAAGTCTCTCCCCTCGGGCAAAAGCCCGGGGTCAGATGGGTTCACAACTAAATTATATTCCCGGTTCAAAGACCAACTGGCGCCTCCCTTGACTAAGTCTTTCAAAGCCATCTCCCCGTCCTGCCCTTTCCCAAGCCAAGCTCTAGAGGCCCATGTTGTTGTTTTGCCCAAACCGGGTAAGGATCCGACCCATTGCAATAACTATCGCCCCATTTCATTAATCAATGTCGATGTTAAAGTCTACGCGAAAATCCTAGCTAACAGGTTGACATCTTTCATCCCTAACCTGATTCATAAGGAACAAGTGGGGTTTGTACCCGCACGGGGGGCTAAAGATAGTATTAGGCGAACAATCACCCTGATGCATTATGCTCAAACACATGGAATCCCCTTTTGTTTATTCTCGGTGGACGCCGAGAAAGCCTTTGATCGCGTTGGGTGGCCTTTCTTGCGGGCCTCTTTGCTTCAGACGGGCTTCCCTACAGATTTTGTGGATAAAATCATGGCACTTTATTGCCGACCGCATGCCAGAGTACGAGTGAACGGTGTGCTTTCGGCTCCATATTGTACCCACGTTCTTTTGTCTTTGTAAAAATTCAATAAAAACTTATTTCTGCCAAAAAAATAAAGAAGCATAAAAAAATTAATTTTAAATAATTTTTTTTGAAAGTCCCCGCCCCCCACATACACACACAGATATGCGTCGGGTGCACCTACGTGCGAAGACGATTGCGCCTATTGTGCCGCACATGTTACATATCACCGCAAACGTCGGAGTGAGACCAATCATTTTAGAGCCATTAAGGCCGGGTTCACACCTGGGCGTTTTACAGCACTGATCAACGCGCTGTAAAACGCCCAGCAAGTGAAATCCCATTATTTCCTGTGGGCATAGTTCCCACCTGGGCGTATTTCAGCGCGTCGGAACGCGCTGAAAAACGCCCTAGGCCCAAAGAACTACAGGAGCTTTGGGGCGTATTTCCGTGCGTATCCATTAGGATACAGCCGGATAGCCCTCGTAAACGCGCATATTTCGATCACCTAGGTGGGAACCCAGCCTAAAGGATAACTATGAGGTGAGTGCTTTTGGTCAAAATGTCGCGCTGCAGAATTGGCATGCAAAAAACAACTGCTTTGCGTTCCCTTTGAGGGACAGTATCTCTTTGAAGCTGTCCTGGACACTTTTATCAAGGATTTCACTGAGGGCAAAGAGTACCCATCTGCCCCAGCAATTGAAGCCTTGGGCTTAACCTGGGAAGGCATATCCCTTCTTTAGAGGCCAGGAAGAGTTCCTTTGTTACTCCCGGGCCTCAACCTTTAAATCCAAGCCCAAGTCTGGTCACCAGACCCGCAAACTCTAGACTTCCAGGTCTCCTAAACCCTTGGATAAATCTTCAGCATGAGGGCATCTCAGTGGCAGTGGCAGAAAGGTTCCAGGGGTTTTCAGTACAGCCTGACCTATACCTTTCTACCCATGAAACTCCTGTTTGATCTGTAGGATGGAGGGCATTCCGATGATCCTCACAGCGCCAGACTGGCCCAGGCAGATGTGATACTCTGACCTGATCAGATTTCTGGCATATCTGTCATAATATGAGAGAGAAGGTTTTGCGAAAGGTAATATTTCAAAAAAAAAACTAAAACATAATGATGTTACAGCAACAATTACGGTTTAAAAAAAACATACCCAATTCTTGCTAAAATTCCATGTTTTCCAGATAAAGTAACAACATCAAATCCTATTCTCTTGCCTCCTTGTCTAACTTCTTCTGTGTAAAAGCCATCAATGGGGGTACCAGATGACTTTAAAGCTTCAGATGCTTTATGGATTAAGGTGGTTTTTCCAATTCCTTCAAATATAAAATAAATCAAATGATGAGATTTTTGTAGTCACCATAGAATCTTTTTCTTGCAGTCCATAGAGGGACCCAGGGATATAGTAATACATAGATGTGCGGGTTATATGCAGCTGTCTTTAGGAAGTGGACACTGGCAAACATATAAAAAAAGTTTAAGACCTGCCCATTATATAACCATCCCCAACTGCCCTGCTTCAGTTTTGTGGGCAAGCATTACAAAGGGCCAACACCAAAGGGTAGTAGGACCTGTATCCCTCTATGTACTTCAAGAAAAACGATTTTACAGGAGGTACAAAAATCTTACTGTCTTTCTTGTCCATTGAGGGACACAGGGATATAGTAATGCATAAATGTGTGGGACATCCAAAAGTACTCCAACTAAGAGGTGGGCAAAAGCCACTGATAGATACGGTACAATGGATGTTGCATTCATACTGGAAGAGTATTAGAAGGAATAATTGGTTACAAGAAGCCAATAACAAATTGGGACACATTATGGAAAATGCCATTATAATGAAACACACCAAGATAAATCTAGTGTTCCAGAGCAGGACAGGTAGCACCAGTAAGGGGGAGACTTTTGTAAAGGGATAATGAACTTAACAAGTGGAGGGCAACTGAGGAACTACCAAAGGAGAAACAGGTAGGGAAACAAAAAGGTGGTCAGCAAAAACCAAGAATGTATGTAAGGTAAAGGCCAAAGCCTAGGATACCTAACCCTTGTCCTCAGGAAAGCAATGTCAGACAAACAAGATTGTCTCAACCAAGATCAACCTGTGACCAGCTGGAGTTTGAAGCAAAAATAACCTAGATTTTAGGAGGAGAGAATTCCAAAATAAAAGTTGTCCTCTCAATGGCAATCTAAAAGGAGAGAGGGAATGAGACTTTCAATAGGAAAATGAAAGAAGTGCCTAAAGGAAGCTAAGAAAAGATACTTGGTAATGCAACAAACATGAACCTCAGAACAAAAGGAGTGAGGAGACGACCTTCCAACTCACACCAACATCTGACTCAGATATGAGATTGTCACCACACAACTGGTCTGAAAATATAGATATAGAGAAGGGAAGCTAAAAACTCCATAGGGTGGGAGCCCAGCGCTGCCATGGAGTATAACCAGGAAAAGAAAATTACGATAAGTATGATTACATTTTCCGTTTTCCTGGCCATATCCATGGCAGCGCTGACAAATGGGGATTACCCAAGCAGGGTAACCAGTAAGGGTGGGAACAAAATCCATAGACAAACATGTCGAGAGAGCAAAACACTTCTACCGATGTGGTCATTCACTGCAGCCCTGACGTCCAGTCGAGAATGCTAACAAAGGTAGACCTAGACGCCCATGTTGCTGCCCTGCAATTTTGATTCACCGAAACTCCAGCTGCTGCTGCCCATGAGGAGGACACGGCCCTTGTGGATTGAACCCTGTAATCGGATCTAAACCCATTTGTCAGCACTGCCATGGATATGACCAGGAAAGGATATTTCCTTCTTAAATAATAAATCAAAGTTGTATGAGAGAACAGAATTTTGCAGAAAAAGGAGGAACATATAAGAAAACAAGAGTCTGAGCCCTATAGAGCATAATGTATACACTATGAAACCGTGAACACCTAATCAGTGATGCACATCTACACTGTAGGTTGAAAAGTCTCTCTAGAAAGAGAAAAAGCTTAGCAGAGATAAGAACCACCAGTGCAACAAACCTAAGATCAATAGTGTCAGAAGTGCCGGTGGCTTAGCAGAGTGGAGTGGAACCCACTCGCAGGAAGGGGCCTGAAGCGTCCGAAGGCAGAGGTACAAAAAGGGGCAATCCAAAAGAGAAGTCAAGGTCCAATCCGGGTCGAGGCAGGCAGCAAGTGTTCAGGGGCGAAAGTCAGTCCAAGGTCGGTAACAGGGGGGTCCAGATGAGGGGTCAGGAAGCAACAGCAAGATACACAGATGGGGAGCTAGGTAATCACACCATAGGGTGTAATAACTCCGCAACAAGCCAGAGCTCTGGCCAGGTTTTTATAGCCAGGGGATGTAAGACCACCCCCTGGTCACCGAGGCAACCAGGAAGCTTCCCTCCCCGGGAGCCAATGGCAGGCGAGAGAGGTGGAAGGTGTGTGTTGGGAACCTCACCCAGCAAGGCCCACACCCCATAGCCCTAGTGGCGCTACGCGCACGCTTCTGGGAATGCGCGCGCAGCCTGGGTACTGCGGCCGCCGCGCGACTCGCGCATCTGCAACCCGGGCACCAGGAGTTCTACCAGGCTGGAGGGGAACCCGTGACCTGCGCCGTGCACGTTGTCCCCGTGAAGTGGTAACACCCCCTGTTTCCTGACAAATAGACTGCATAATAAAAGGGGTATACCTTAAGGCAGGCCCCAGAACAAATGGGGACAAAGTCCCAGGGTGTGGAGAGCCTAAATAAATTAGTATTGTGTACATTTGGGAATGGAAAGTAACAAAACAAAGAAAAATCAGATATCTGGATACAGAGCCCAAAGAAAATGTTTAAAGGAGAACTATGGGGTTTAGGCTTTTCCCCATAGTTCTCCTTAGGGTAACGGGAGGACACAAACTAGCGTCCTCCCGTCACCCTAAGCTCAGTATACCGCGAGCTACAGCTCGCGGTATACTGAGACGCCACAGTATACTGAGACGCCGCAGCTGAGGCGGATCCCGACAATTATGTCTGGATCCGCCCAGCTGCGTGAGTGACAGCTGGCTCAGTAGGTGTATGGGCAGCGTGTGACCGCTTCTACTGTAAGGTTGTACGACTTTCTTCTTCCAAGCACGCTGGAAAATGTGCTGAAAATCGTACGATTTTTGGTGGGTTAGTGGTGTGGTCGGAAGATGAATGCCGCACGGGCCGGTGCCCGCTCAGCACTGCAATCATCAGAAGCCCCCCCCCCCAGCGGGGAGGGCTTGCGATCATCGCAAGTACGATCTGCCTGTCCAAGATGGGCAGATCGTACGAGATTTTAATGACCTTACAACCATCGCATAACGAAAGTCGTGCGATGGTTGTAAGGTGTATGGCCAGCTTAAAGCACAATAATACACTGCTCAACGTTACACCCCCCTGCACACAATATAATAATATATTTCCCCCCGTACACAAAAAATAATACACTCCCCCCGTTATAAGCCCCCCACACACACATAAAATAATATACTGCCCCCTTATTAACCCCCCACACATAAAATAATACGCTCCCCCTTAGTAACCCCCACTCCCCTTATTAACCCCACACACACAAAACTATAATACACTCAACCACTTCCCCCCAGCCCCCTCACCTGTTCACGTTTTTGCAGGGAGGAGGCTGGCGAGCAGGATCGATCCCTGGTTTATCTGTGAGTGATTAGAGAGGTCTGCAGCAGACCTCACTATCACCCCCAGATAACCAGGGATCGATCCTGCTCACATACATTCTTTCTTTCGGCCGGAGCTCAGAACCGTCAGAGCTCCGGCCGAAGGAAGCCAGAGCTGACAGGAGCTGCTCTGCGGTCTGCATCCGACACAGATGCAGACCGTGGAGCTGCTCCTGCAGGTCAGGTACACGGTCTGCGACCGTGTGTCTGACATGCCAGCTGGCTGTGGGCCACATAGTACCGGCTCGCGGGCCGGAGTTGGTCCGCGGACCGGTACTTGGAGAACCAAATTTCCACTCGCCAAATGCGAGCAGGCGAGTGGAAATTTTGAGCCCTGCTATAGGGTGTCTCACCAGTCAGACAAAAATTTCACCAGTCAGCATGACCGGACTATAGCGTTGCAATTTATGTTGACATTTTTTTGAGACAGATAGAGCTTTCTTTTGGTGGTATTTAATCACCACTGGAGTTTTTATTTTTTACTATATAATGAAAAAAGTACTGCAAATTTAGAAAAAAAAAATGATTTCCCTACATTATGTTAAAAAAGATTTATTCTTACCCATATTTTTGGTAAAATATAAAAAACAGGGTCACGTCGGGAAATCGCAGAAAAATACCATACCCAAAATTGGCCATAGGCGACGCTTTAAAAGCTTTTACTGCTCATCAGTTTAGTCTTAATAGTGATTAATGGCCCTAAAATGATTTCCCTCACTCTGACTTTCGCGGTGATATCAATGTATGTGTATGTGGGAGCAGGGGACTTTAAAAAAAACAAAAACATTTTATACATACAGTTGTGTGAAAAAGTGTTGGCCCCCTTCCTGATTTTTCATTGTTTTGCACGTTTGTCACGCTTATGTTTCAGATCATCAAACAAATTTAATTATTAGGCAAAGATAACACAAGTAAACACAAGATGCAGTTTTTAAAGGAAGGTTTTTATTATTAAGGGAAAACCAAATCCAAACCCACATGGCCCTGATTACTGCCACACCTGTTCGCAATCAAGAAATCACTTAAATAAGACTTAACTTTACTAATGTCACCTAGGGACCCCCAAAGAATCTGATGAAGCAGAGATCTGCTTCACCAGCTTCTCTCCAGCTACAGAAGCTGAAGAATGACAGTTGAATGCGAAAGTGATGTATTGTACATCACTCCTGCATTCAGAGAACAAGGAGGAGCTCAGCGGGAGATCATGTGATGATCTCCCGCTGAACTCGGTGACAGAGCCGCCCTGTGGGTGCCGAGCCCTCACCGGACACAACTGGGATCGCCAACGGCATGGGGGATGCACACCTGCACGCATTAGACAAGCGATCCAGCGGCTCCATAGCTGCCGGACCGGTTGTATGTAAACAGCCATCCAAGATGCTGCGGCTGTTCAGCTTCACATCCAAGAAGCTCCCGGTCGGCTGTTTAATTACAACGGCCAGCCGGATTTTTGCGTGCTTCTGCATGCACTGCCCCCGCTCTGTCATTTTAGGTGGTCTAGCACTTCGTGGCTGAGTTGCTGTTATTCCCAGTTGCTTCGTTTGGTATAATACCACTAACATTTGACCGTGGAATATTTATTAGCAAGGAATTTTCACAGATGGACTTATTGCACAGGTGGCAACTTATCACGGTACCACCTTGAATTCACTGAGCTCCTTAAGGTGCCTATACACGATCATACAATAATCGGCAGGTGTATGGAAGGCGTGCAACCGTTTCTACTGTTTGGTCGCATGTCTTGAAAACGGTAAGATTTTTGCGGGTTAGTGGCATGCTCAGAAGACAAATGCCGAACGGGCCGGTGTGCGCAAGCGCACACTGCCCGCTCAGCATTGGAGTCATCGGAAGCCCTCCTCTTAGCGGGGAGGGCTTGCGATGATCGCAAGTGCGATCTGCCTGTCCAAGATGGGCAGATCGTACAAGGTTTTAATTACCTTGCAACCATCGCACAACGAAAGTCGTGCAATGGTTGTAAGGTGTATGGCAAGCTTGAGAGCGACCCATTCTTTCACAAAATGTTTGTAGAAGCAGTATGCATGCCTAGGTGCTTGATTTTATACACCTGTGGCCATGAAGGTGATTGGAACACCTGAATCAAATGATTTGAAGGGGTGTCCCAATACTTTTGGCAATATAGTATATATATATTGCACTCAGTCGACAAAAACGAATATGGTATCGTTTGGTGTGGAGTAACCGACTGCTGTTCCTTAGGAGTAGGCTCATTCATGAAGGATTTCCGAGACTCCTATTTAGAGAGTCCATATAGAAGACACCAGCACTCGATAATATGTGCAGGAAGTAAAGCACTTTTTATTAAATTGTCACATGCGTCATGCGGCCAACGTTTTGGGGCCACGCAGGGCCCCTTCTTCTGGGCGACATTGTCACTATTTCGTATTATCCTTGTCAGAGAGGGCTCCCGCAGCAGAAGGTTCGAGGCAGCAACAGCTGTAGGAATGTCAAGTAAAGAATCTGGTGGGTAATGTGTAAAGGTGCGAAAACAACCACTACGTTAAAAGCTAGCAATCATAGTGGCAAAATTTGTGGTAAAATATTTGGTAAAACAAAGTCCTGCAATGGTGCATAACTATTCTCTGTATAAGACAGAGGGTTCTACACCTAACAGAGCAAATGCAGAGTCTGAGGACGTTGCCTAAGCTGTCAGGGCAGGACCTTAAGGGTGGACACTGCAGATAGCTGTTAAAGCAGATGGGCTGCTCCTCTAACACTTGCAGTCCACTATACAGTTCTGTTAAGGCAGTAACAGAACATAGAACTGCAGGATAAGAACCATGTAACTGACTGCTACTAGCAGAAGGGGTTAAACAGCAAATACACAGGCACTGAGAGCAGCAGGAATGAGTATGGAGAAGATCTGAGGCCCTCATGCAGCAGAAGCAAAGGTGGGAGCATTAACTCCCAATGAACCGAGGGGTGAGTTAGAAGTGAGGGAAATATGTGCGCAACAAGTGATGCAGCACAATATGCCAGTACAGTAGGCTCTATGGGGAACTGGCGCAATAGAGCATTTTCCCAAATGTAAACGGTAAAGTAAAAAGTGATAAAGAAAAGGGCAAAGAGACTGGACACACTACTCTCCACTGGAATCTCTCAGAACAGAGAGATTTTAGGGAAACTGCACAGTGAAGTGAAGGTGTCCACTATACTGCACCTGTGTTGTAATCTGCCAATGCATGTAAAGTGCCATAACAGAGAAATACATGTAGGTATATACCAAGATGTTTTCCCTCTTGCACAGACACACACATCAAGACACAGCAATTACAGGGCTTTTGACCTGGAAAGTGCTCTGTGGCTAACTAACTTGGGACATGAGGTACCACCCCACACAGGCAGAGACCAGTGCCGTAAGGTCACATTCTAGGCCGGCTCCACATATTCCAGTGGGTTCCAGGTAAAGTCTACAAGGCTATGTTGAAGATGAACCAATACGGATAGCTACTGTAATAGAGACTAGCTCAAGTGGCATATTAAACAACATTTCTGGCAGATGCTCTGTGGGCTCTTTCCAATTACCATGATTTTCTGTCCAAAGGACCAGTTCACCATCCTGCTTCACACGCAATGGCTTTAACAACATTCCTGTTATTGCCTAGAGCCCAGAACATCTTAATTGAAGAAAACTAATTCTGCAGACAACCACAAATGTTGACGGGGAAAAAAAAGAATTAAAAAAAATATATTTTTTTTTAGCAGAGTTGATGGAAAAACGTCTGACCTCATAGGACACTAGTAAAAAAACAAAACAAAACAAAACAAAAAAACAATACGGAATGGTTAGGGGCACGGTCATAGTGGACAGGCCCTCAAAAAAATATTCTGCTTGCCAATGTCCATTTCCTGTAAGCGGCTGCATATAACCCACATGTCTATGAATTACTATATCCCTGTGTTCCTCATTGGATGATAAAGAAACAAATATATGCATACTCTGTAGTCACAATGTCTATACACACACAAAATCAGTCACAGCTCATGCAGCACTAACAATTAAGTGTTAAACAGTATAGCATGTAGCAGGGGTAAACAACAATGGAGAGGTATTTACACTGTGAAGATCTATTGTGATGAAATTCAAAATTATGTATATTGTTAGGTTTCACTAATGAATAAAAACTCACAAAATGGGGGCTTTTAGGCCTGGTTCACACCTGGGCGTAGAGACGCGTTGTAAAACGCTCAGCATGTGAAAACCAATAATTGCCTATGGGCATGGTTCCCACCTGGGCCCTACGCCCAAAGAAGTACAGGAGCTTCTTTGGAGCGTATTTTCCACGCGTATCCATCAGGATACAGTCGTTTGGCCCTCGTAAACGCACGTTTGTTGCGCGTTTCTTTTACCGCAAATCGCTGTAAAAACGCGCGGCACGAATTTTCTTATGCTACCCTTGTGAAGCTGACTTCCTATCAAACAGTATCCAGTATCAGAAGATGCCCACGAACTCTGGGATGTGATTGTGTATCATAAGTCCCTTCAATAACAATGAAAGCCAATCCTGAAGTGTTCGCCCAATGATCACTCCCTCCACTATCCCCCCCGTCTTGAAAACCTGCCACCGGCCAGAGACGCCGTTGCAGTACATTAAATCTCAATTTATTATTGAAAAAAAGTTTTAGCGCTTAAGGCCCCATTCACACACGAATCGGCCTGCACGTACAGCTCCGTGCTGCGTGCGGGGCCGTACCAAGTAGCTGCCGGGAAGGACAGGTGCTGCGTGTGATTAGAACGCAGCCCCCGTCCTTCTCTATGGGGCTACGCGGCCGTACGCCCCCCTACGCTCACCTCATTTGCAGGTCCTTAGGGGTGCAGGTGATCGTATTCATACGCCGCCGGAATGGATCCTGTATGCGTCCCGGCCAGAAAACCCGCACCCCTACGGACCTGCAAATGAGGTGAGGGGGGCGTACGGCCGCGTAGCCCCATAGAGAAGGACGGGGGCTGCGTTCTAATCACACGCAACACCTGTCCTTCCCGGCAGCTACTTGGTGTGTGAATGGGGCCTAATACTGGGGATGTCCTGATACCATTTTTTCAAGTGCAAGTACTTTCCCTCAGGTACTCGCCAATACCAATTACAGATACTTTTTCTTAAAGGGATATGTGATCAATTTTCTAATACAATACAGACTAATGATTTTAGGGCAGTCTCTCACCCAAGGCTGCATGTGGGTCGCTCCAGGGCTCTGTGAGCAGGTGCTGAGCTGAACAGGCAGGAGCCGGCTTAAAGGGGTGGTGAGCTGAACGGGCGGGTGCCGATCTAGTGCCGGTTCCGGGGCTGTATGTGCGGAGTGGGGCTGTCCTGAGCTGTGCATGCACTGGGAAGGAGGAGGAGATGTGGGACCGGGCAGGCACTGTCAAAGACAGCTACTGCCAGGTCCCCAGCAGGCTTCCTGAGGTCCCCACAAGCATGGGACCTCAGGCAGTGGATCCAGTTTAAAAATGTAAAGGGCCTGTATCGACCTTTAGTATCAGGGGGATTTTCACGAGTACAGTTACTTGTATCAGCCTGATACTGATACTAGTATCAGGACATCCCTACTTAATACTACTTTAACAGTATTTAGAGAGGAAAAGGCCCAAGGACTCAATTGGTTAAGAATATTAAATTTTTTTTATTAAGAAACCTAACAAAATATGGTAAAAAATAAAAAATATTAAAACACAAATAAATTATTATTTATTGTGAACAATCTTTTCATTTACTAAGGCAGCAATTCTCTTAGATGCACTTGCATGCAGTTTCTAAAAGAACTTGCTTGATACATTGTTCCAAGAATTCTGGAGAACTCACACAGTTCCACAACAGACTTTGGCTGTCTTACTTCCCTCTCTCTCAGAAAGCATTCCCAGATTGGCTCGATGTTGAGTTGTGTGATGGGTATACCATCTGTTGTACGGTTCCTTGTGCTTTTTTTTTTTTTACTGCAGAATGCTTTAAGAATGAGGTTAAGGCTGATCAGACACCTCCTTGATGGTACTGTATTATGGCCAAAAATTTGTGTGTACATTGTAGTAAGGTTGCCATCAGTTTTAGCATACAAAATGCCTTTTGAAAGTTTAAAATGTAGGCTTATTAAGTCAAAAGCACCTGCTGCTATCACCCAGGCAAGTACAACCATCTTATTTCAGCCCCCTAGACAAAACGAGCACTTAACCCTTGTAGTAAGGGGTAGCCGTATTGCAAGGGTAAGTTGTTGATTTCTTCCAGCGTTCTCCTTTAACCCTTTCGCTGCCAAGGACGTATGGCATACGGACCTACAAAAG